ATACTTTTTTAATGATAAAATAAATACTGTTTTAAATCCCTTTCACAACCCAATTTTCATCCAACTTTTCCTTTGTTTTTGAAACACTGTTTTATTTATTTTTTTAATTAATGGTTAGTTTAAATTTAAGAAAGAATCTTATACCAACAGAAAATAAAACGGAATTTTGTGTGAACAATATTAATAAAATGGATTACAATGTGAAAGAATCAAGTTCCATTTCAAATCGGTGGCGTAGATATGAGATATGTTGGTTACAATTTTATCAAACATTATTTCAAAAAAAAATAATTCAAAATTTATCTAAACCTATCATCTTTACAAATTAAGAAATAACATAAAATGTGTATGTAACCAACTTACACATATTTACGATACCGATTTGAACTGAGATTTGATTTTTCACATAGAATGTAGCCATAAGTCAGCAAATACGGCCAACTGAAGGATAATATACGCCCGCATCACTGAATTAGATACATACATATATTATTTATGTATTGATCGCACACGATTTCGTTTCAATTCGCTATTTGTTCAGTAGATATTTAGAGATGTCACTTTTTTTGGATAACACAATCTTGTATTACACCGTATACAGTTACAAAAAGAAACTCACCAGTATAACCCACTGGGCACGGATTTGGAGGATTACAATAGGCTGGCAGGGTGGTATCAGTTTTGACTTCCTGTTTAGCCTTCATTCCTTGATTTCGCATCAGCTGGTTTCCTTCCCCTGCCCCTCCCGGACCAAACTAGAAAAAATATTTATAGTTTTAACTATCGATATTATGAAAAACAAGTATTCTGCGGACTAAAACCCCGAGCTGCATTGAATTATACCTGTAATATTTAGTAAATAAAATATATGTAAATCAATTGGATTGTCACAGATTACTGGTTTCGTACATTTTATTTACATATCAGTAAACTAGTATGATTTAGTCATAAATGCTGACACCTAGAGGTGGTGTTGCTAGATTAGTAATGAAATTGTTGATTCGTGTTTTGGGTAACAAATTATTAACATTTTTTTATGAATGAGTGATACCGTAATAAGTTATTGATTTATCTCAAAATAAAACATTGCTTATTATGATTATATGTATAGATAAGGCCGATAATAATTATTTTGTAATAAAAAAATTACAATTATTTCTCTATCGATAATTTATCTCACTGCGGGGACAAAATATAAATTATTATAGATTTCAGTGAATAACTACCTGCGTCTGCCAAGTTTCAATTACCTTCTATCTTAAAATTTGACTATCAAAGGATTATCAGCAAACGATTTTATAGCCCTGGTAGAAAAAATGTAAATATCCCACAAGTAAGTGCCAAAATTTTTACCACATATTTAGCCCTTCAAAAGCAACAACATCTGTCTGATATTTTTTTTGCGTTACATGCTTGTTCAGTATTTCTACCCACTAACTGGCCTTAGGGACGTACGCGAATGTTTTATCCAATTTCAAAGTTCCTACTTGAATTCATGGTAAAAAGTATGACGATTAGGAACTACTCTCGTACAATAATTTTACAGCACGGCGCGGCATATCAAAAAGTTCAATTTGGAAAATTTTAAAGGTTGTTATATCCACAATGTACAGAATTAGTCACTATAATCTGACAACGTATTGTGAGTTTATTATTGAAATTACAATAGAGTTTTTAATACAAAAGTTTTAGCTTTTTTTCTGTATTTTTATCATACAGTATTAGAAAAAACAATTAAATAATGGAAGTCACTAAATTAAAGAAAAAATAAATGGAAGACCCTGTATATTAGTACATACTTAACTCCGTTAAATTTTTCTCTTTTCAAAAATATATAATATGTTAATGTTTCATTCAGGACTTTTCGACATATTTCAGTTTAAAACTATTTTTGAAAAAATAAGAGGGTTTATGCTAACGGATCGCAGTGGCTATGGACGAGGTACGCGGAACAAACAAATGACTGACAGAAGTTTATTTATCATCACTAATTTATTTTCTATAACAAACTATTTTAACAAAGAAAAGTAAGAACGAAAAATTTGAAGTTATCCGTTTATTTTATGATGTCTAATAATAAAAATCATTCTTAACTTTAACAGGATTTTAACACCTAATTAATAAAAACCAACTAAAACAAAAGTGGTTACAGATGTTCAATGTGACCGCCATTATTATTCATGCACTTCGTATAAGTATAATCCTCATTAATTTTCAGAACTGCATTTAGTATGAAATAGGAATTAAATTCACTTAAATTTTGTATTTTATATCAACTTCATGTTTAGTTCATCTAAGTTTACACTAGTTTCCTTATAAACCTCGTTTTTTAAGTAACCACACAGAAAACTGTCCAGGGGTGTAATGTCTGGGCTATTTGAAGGCCATTGAATATTTCCTCCACTACCAATCCACAAATCAAACCTATTATTTAAATAATTTCGTACTGCTCTGGTTCTATGCGGAGGCTCTCCGTCTTGGTGCCAAATTAAATTGGTATAGTCGATCAGCGGCAGATCTTCCAATTTGTTTTCTATTTGATTTTCAAGAAAACATAGGTATCTTTCCCCATTCAAAGCACCTTCATAAAATAATGGGCCAATGATTACAGTGAGGATTTTCATTTGCACAGGTATGAGTATTTTTCTATTATAAATACCAAACCAACTGTTTTAAAAGTCCTAAAATCTTTTCAAAATATTTTAGGTTGCCATTTTTAAAGCGCAGCATTTCTCTGCAGTACTCTAATCGTTGAATTTTTTGATTTTGCGTTTTTGGACCGGCATAGTTTTATAAGGGTGGTATTTATATTTATGTAACGTTCTAATAATTTTACTTTGGCTTATTTCTAACTGTCTTGAAGCGTTTACTGTGGACTCGTGTGGCCTTTCTACAATAATTTAATATTTGAATTTACCATGGTAAACTTCAAATCAATATTTGCTTACCTTGAAAATATAGTAATATAGTTAGTTCTAATTCTTCATTTAGAATAATTCTTCGTGTCGATCTTCCAAGAGATTTTGTTTCTCTAAAACGTCGCTCAATGTCGTAAAATGCAGCTCGAGATGGAATTGGAAACCCGGGATGCAAACGAGCATACCCGGTGCGCGCTGCATTCACATTATTATTATTCTTGTAAAATAAACGGATAATTTCAAATTGTTCGTTCTCACTAAACATTATTTCTTTGTTAAAATTGTTTTAGGAAATAAATTAATGATGATAAATTAACTTCTGTCAGTGTCACTGCGATCCATCAGACACAAATTTCCCTCCCGTTTTTTCAAAAATAGTTTTAAACTGTTTTAAATATGTCGAAAAGTCCTGAATCAAACATGCTCGTATTATATATTTTCAAACATATTATATATTTTTGAAAATAGAAAAATTTAACGAAGCTAAGTATGCTCTAATGTATAGGGTGTTCAATTTAAAAATATATATATTTTTTAATATAGTGATTTCCATTATTCAATTGTTTTTTCTAGTACTGTATTATAAAAATGCGTAAAAAAGCTAAAACTTTTGTAATTTCAATAATAAACTCGCAATAAGTTATCAGATTATAGTGACTAACCCTGTACATTGTGGATATAACAACCTTTAAAATCATATACATGCCATGTACAAAAAGGTAAGTTTTTCCAGCCTTAGAATTATTATCACCGACAGCATTTTTGTAAATGGTTATTGTGAAGATTTTCAGTAAATTTTGGACTGGAAAAGTAAACGAATTGGACCTTACATTCGGTTAGATAGTCGAAGGCATTTATACTTTTTAAGTAACATGGTAAATTATATGCAGGATGATATCCCGCTGACGATGCTTTTTGTCATATGCCCGAATTATTGGAGACCGCTTAAGTCTTTTTTGGACGGTGGACTGGTCGAAATGGTCCAGTTGCATAGCCCGCTCTGTCGCCAGATTTCAATCCGTGTGACTTATAAATTTGGAGTCGTTTAAAATAGTTGGTGTATTCCAGTCCAGTTAATATGGTCGAGAAACTTCGAAAACAAATAAAAAATCTCTCCAAAATAATCGCAACAATCCGGAAATCTTAGTATGAGTGAAATAAATTTTCAACGCTGTATACAATTATGCCTTGACAGTAACGGACGACGTTTTGATATTTGATATAATTTAATTTAGTAAAACAAGTCTCGTCCTACTGAAACAATAACGGTGAATTCTTTTTAGTGATTAAAAAGTTTGTCATTTTTAAGTTTTCATAGTTTTTTGCTTAACTAATAATTTATTGTTCCGCGCCTTTTTATTTATTATTCAATCAACTGAGCGTTTCGATTTATGCTTAAGTGGCGGGTAACAAAAAATTCAAATTTTGAAAGTGTAATTATCTAACAAATTAAAGTTTTCCAAATTAGACAAAAGCTTCCATTTGAAAGAGCTCTCCAAATTTGTAATATAAAATCTTCAACGTGAAATTACATTTTAAGGCCCGGTAATTTGAGTCTCGGTTAAGGTTCGATTAACTAATCAGGCAATTAGACTGTGATTATACTTATATCATTATATGTACAGTCTAATCGCCTGATCAGTTAATCAAGCTTTAACCGAGACTCAAAGTACCGGGCCTTAAAGTTTCAACAGAAAATCAGTACATGTCCGGCACTATTTAAGTTTGCATCTGAGATAGCTCCGCCCACAAATGCGAACTGGACATAGCAAAGGAAACGCTCCTGTCCCAAATCGCCATGCCTACGTATTCTAGGTCAATGCGTTCTTCTCAGTCTCGCGCAGCTATGCCGGAGTGGGAAACGCAAACAGTGTCGGTCTTTGTTTTTTTTTTTGTTTGCCTGATCTAAAAGTTTGTCACGACCACAACATCGCGCTTAAACATATACGTTTCAAAAATATCTAAATATCAAGAACTGACTAAAACAACTACCTACCTGTTTTCCCCAAAGGGTGCTGTGCTGGAGGTATTCCTGATCCCTTATGCTGGGATGCAGGCTAACCTCTGCTAGACCGTCGTAGTCCAACAGCTGCTCCTCCTCCAGGTCTCTGGTGAGAGAACGCGCGTCCAACGGCAATCCATCGGTGAAATCCAAATAGGAGATCCCATCGCCTTCTGATATTCCTTTGCCATTGATACGGTTCACTAGGTCCCGCAAAAATATGCCGGAAAGGAAGTTATCCTACACGGAAAAATAGAGACAAGTTAACAAACTGACATTACGCGATTCAGAAAGAACACTAATAGCAGAAGGTCTTTATTTATTTAACAAGTGCAATATTCAGAGTTGGGTATTGGATCAGCAATCAAATATTGCAAATTTGTATCTGAGGATATTATGTATTCGTATTCATCATTTTTAAATATATATTCAGGATTTAGTACAGGGAAATAGTATTCATGAGTATTGAAAGTATTTTATGAATAATAGGGTATTTAGGAATATCTAAGTACTCCGGAATACTGAGGATTAATGAATATATTAATATCTATGATGGTTTGGTAAAATTTTATTAAAGTTGGACAAAATGGACTCACGTTTGTAGAAAACTGTTCTTAGGGATTTACCTTTAGGCACGGTACTTTGAGCCTCGGTTAAGGCTTGCTTACATAATCTGGCGATTAGACTGTGATTATACTTTATAAAATAAATCACTATATGTACAGTCTAATCGCCTGATCAGTTAATCAAGCTTTAACCGAGACTCAAGATACCGGGCTTTACTCTTACAAATATAACAAAACCTTTTACAATTTTTTTAGCGTTATTACATACTTATTTTCTTTTTTCAAGTATTAAAATAAGTATATTATATACAGACAGGGCAGTCCACCATATGTGCCACCCCTCACTAACAGTAACTCATTTGCTATACAAAAAATTTAAACTGTATGAAAAAAGTAAAAGAAATATGAAAGTCATACAATATTTTATAAAGTCTATTATAGTTCTATAACAAACCATAGACTGTCATAAAAAAGTATATTTTTGATATTTAAGATAACGTTTGCGGCAATCAGCTGTAAATTTCTAAAGATTGTAAAACCATGACTCTCGATTTGTACGTGTCACATTTGACGTTTTTAAATTCTGTAATTCGGTATAAAAGTTTCAAAAACAAAAATCACTTTTATTTTTTTTTTTTTTTCAGTCACATGACGCACATTACATAGGAAATTAAAAATTTTAACACAAATGACTTAAAAAAACTCAAAATATGATTCAGCCTTTAAAATTATAATGATATATTACACTGAAAAATTTGTAAATATAATTTCCTTATTAAGAAAAATAATTTAAATTTTGAACACACCTTCACGCTCTGACTATTGAAATCGCGTTCAAAAATATTATCTAGTACTGTGTCAGCTAGTACTATATTTTTATTTTTTTTTTACTACAGTCAAATATTAAACCATACATAGTAAATTAAAAATCTTTTTCTGCATAAAAATGTGGAAATAGTAAAATCTTTATATAGCAGAAGTAGCTATTTTGAAATATTTTTGAAAAGTTATGTTAGAACAAGATTTATTTGGAAGATTGTATTATACAGGGTGTCCCTGAAAATGATGGACAACGCTTGACCACAGGTTCGTTGGGTGAAAATAAGACTATTTAGCCTAACTTACCTATATACAAAAGTGTACGCCTACTGAGATTATAGCCTTCTGAATACATAATAGATAACCTATTTTTTTCAAATAATTTGAAAACTATGTTTCTTAGAAACTTCAAATTTGGTACTTATTTTTTTAAATAAGGACAAGGTAAATATAGAATTTGGAGAGAATACATATACAGGATGTTCTATTTCTAGTGCCTGTGCGCCACTGGCTATCCCGTAACTTTTTTGTGTGTATGCCAATGACGACAGAATTTATATTTCTAAAAATAAGTACTATTTTAGAAGATTTTTTGCCTCTTACAAAATTTCGATATCGTTTATGGAATTCGAGTAAAATTCGCATTTTTTATACATTAAATATAGGCAAAAATTCCGATTTATAAAAAATAATTTATAACTGCTGCCTCAAAGAAGGGAATAATAATGAAAAAACATCACATTAAAAAAAAATAACTACACATTTTTGGTATTAGTATTATCAATCAATAAAATAAAAATCAACACTAATATTTTAAATAAACAATATCAACTAATAAAGTAAGAAAGTCAACATTAACATTGTAAATAAACTGATATTTGTAATCACATTAAAATAATATTACAGTAAATGCTCAAAGTTACTTTCTTGTTCTTAAACGCAAACATTAGTTCTTATAATTCTAAATTAGAAATTATCCAATAATTGTGCATTACCTCACATAACATTAATTTCATGTTGTATTCTTTCCCATATTCGTTTTCTGTATTTGCTGAAAAGTTATTTTAAACTGTGGTCCTCAACGCTCCCCAAATGAAATAATTACATGGGTTTAGGTCCGGGGATCGAGGTGGCCATTTTAAAGGGGCATTCTTTCCTGTACCTATCCACCTGTTAGACCTTTAATAACCTGTACCTACCTGTAACCTATAATAACTGGTCTTTTAATACTCTATTAAAGGAACTTTTTGAAAGCCAACCTCTGCCGCTAAACGCCTTTTATTTACTTGAGGAATTTCTTTGACCCTTTCCAAAATTTGTTCCTCCAGCTGAAAAATTCCGGCAGTGCATTATCCACGAATTAATGTTACAGGCAAAAAACGTCCTGTTTCCTGAAAGCGTCTCTCCGCATTAGCGGATTGTGATTTGGAGTTCTTCGATTAGGAAATCTTTCAGCGTTCGAACAGTAGCACAATAATTTCCTTCACAATAACCCAAAACTACTAACATATCAGTTTGTTCAGCAAAAGTATAAATTGCAATAAAAAACAAAGTAAGCTGGAATTAAATCACAGCTAGCTTGACACAGAACCTTTTAATTATTGTTATGAATTTGTTTCTCTGTTATATGGCACCTCGTACTAGCATGTTCTATTTACCTTAAACTGATTTTATATTATTTAATGTGTAAAAAATGCCAATTTTACTCGAAATCCATAAACGATATCAAAATTTTGTAAGAGTCAAAAAATCGTCTAAAATAGTGCTTATTTTTTAAAATATAAATTATGTCGTCATTGGCGGACATATAAAAAAGTTACGGGATAGCCAGTGGCGCACAGGCACTAGAAAGAGAACATCTTGTATATGTATTCTCACCAAATTCTATATTTACATTGCCCTTATATAAAAAAATATGTGTACCAAATTTGGAGTTTCTAAGAAAAGCAGCTTTCAAATTATTTGAAAAAAACTAAGTTATCTGTTCTATATTTAGAAGGCTATATCTCAGTAGCCGTGCACTTTTGTATATATGTAAGTTAGGCTAAATAGTCTTGTTTTCATCCAAAGAACCTGTGGACAAGCGTTGTCCATCCTTTTCAGGGACATTCTGTATTACGATTTTACTATGTCAAGTATGTGTTTGTATATCAATATTTTGACAATGTTCTATTTTCATTTCGGATTATCAGTTACTAGATATTGCTAATACAGGGTGTAAGAAATTTGACTGCCATAACTTCAGCATGAGATAGAGTAATCATAAATAAACAAATAAGTTGTATATTACAGGGGCGTAAGATTAACAGTTTTCAAAATACAGCGAGTATTAATATCGAGGAGATTCATCACAACGTGACAACAGCGCTTAAGAAGATGCACACCACGTGTGCACGCGGCACACCTACGGAGAAAATGTTAACAATTATTATCGTGAAACATTTAGTAAATTTCAAGACAATTGTTTTCCAGTTATTAAAAACACTCCGACAAAGTCGAATCCAGATACCAACTGAATTGCGTATTGCTGGTTGCCGGACACCTTAGTACTTCGTGTTAATAAACCGCCGCACCGTTGTCACATTGCTCGATATGAATTTTATCGAATTTTAAATTTATTACAACGCTAATTATTTTTTAGAATTAAGCATAAAGAAGTTCAAAGAAGTGATGAACATTGTATTTTATGGTATTCTATGCACGCAATATTCCATAATTAATCGAACTTTTGTACATCAAGATGGAGATTTTGATAATTTTTTCCTCGGAAATGGTTGAGTTTAGGACCCATAAGGTTTTTTTATTTATTATAATGTATTCTATAGTCTGTTAAAATTAAGGCAGTCAAACTTTTAACACCCTGTATAACTCATTGTCAGTGTGAGCCTATGTACTTATTTATCACAAAATCAACAATTAGGAATCTTGTCTTTTTTGCTGTCAAAGAATACTATATTTGACATCATTTGAAAGAATTTAGGGAAAAAATGAGTTTATTTGAATTAATTTAATATTTATAATGGAGTAAAACTTTTTTTATCGTTATACATATCGTTTAACACTACTTCACAGTAAAAACCAGTTCCGTGGTAGAAATTGCAATTACGTTATATCCAGAACAAAATTTCACTATGAGCTGATTTGTACAACTAAATCACTATTGCCACTTTTTGAACAAAAAAAAATAAATAGTTCTTACCTTTCCTGTAGGAAGATAGCAGAAGCTTCCAGAGATACACATCAGTAGTATAACGAATTTCATGGCAGAAATGATCGACCTACACAAAAAAATGAAAAGTGTATTGCAAAATGAAAATACAGTAAAAGTTAAATACGATTATATGAAAACAGGCACGGCATTAGAGATTAAAGATTTGCTCTAGATCTGTTCCTAAAAAAATCTTATGTTGCACTATAAAACGAGTCAACACAACTAGTTAATTGAAAATATCTGTGGATTTTCTTATATCGATCTGTAACAGAATAGTAACCACCTGTTAGAAACTTAATGGTAATAAAAAAGTGTGCCGTGCACCAAACCCAAGATATCCGTAACTGCCTTGTTGGCAAAGTGAGCCTGTTGCGCCTCACAATTCCACACACCACGAAACCCCAATCGCCACGTCACCCATGCACTGCTCCAGAACACCGGTTACAGAAGTTCCAAACGTTACATCATCCCTGCCGGATGCGCCATTCAAGCCTAACAAACAGGAATAAATGAATGCAGAACACTTACCCTAGGGGTCGAAAGGTAAATGCGATGGAAAAAGTACGGGATTCGTTTTATGAATCAATGACGGCTTTGCGCAAACGGCGCCGCGGCGCCGGTCATGCGTCGTGACGCGGGATCGATTGTGCAGCTTACCTAGGTCTAGGATAAGGGTTAACCGATGCACCTGGTTTCCGAACGGTGTCTACTCGTCAGAGCGTCGTTTCCTGGAAGAAGCGATAAATTCACGATATCTTTATCGACCCCATGTAAGACATTAGAAGTTTACAATTTTAAATTTAATAAAGCTCGAAAACACTAAAAATATATTCACATACATATACCCACTATTGCAGAAACAAACTACTCTGCGGACCCGACCAGCATTGAAATATACCCACAATATCCAGTAAACAGCTAAAATCATTTGTCAGCCGAACCATCAGACATATAAGGGTTTCACTCCTCATAAATTTACCAGAGATGAGACAATCGAAGAACGATTCAACTATTTTTATGTTATTTTGCAGGTGGCTATCTACAATGAGGATTAAATCAGAAACCAGTATAAGTCTGATGGTTTACTATACATTGCTGGTATAATTTTTAATCGTTTGTTAATATTTGCTTTCAAATTCGCAAATATTATCTTGAAATATTTGCAAACATCCGCAAATATCGAAAATCTCACATCCGAAACAACTTATCAAAAAAAGTTATTTGGCGTCTTTTATAGACTTAAAATATAGTGTACAATGAAAGTTCATTGCCATATTATGTCCTTTTAGTTTTTAAAAAATTACAGCAAAATACATAATTGGCTTTTATCTACAGTGACGAACGTCTTTTTTTGTGAACCAATTTCCATATAAAATAAAAAAACATCTTATTTCTTAAAACCCCAATCGGATCTAAATACATTTATCTATTTTCCAAAATATTTAGTGACGCCGAAATGATGAGGTTGTTAGAGACGCCATCAGCCAACTTAGCCACCGGTTGACAGATTTGTGTAGCAGCTTAAATGTTTGATTATAATTAGTTAAATCGTTACCCCACGTTTGTTCAATCTACGTCAAATACTTTAAACAAATATTTAAATAAATTGAGATTTTTTTTAATTTCAATATTTATCTCCTAAACACTACGCTACAACTTATGTTTATATGAACATAACATATAACATAACATATGAACATTCTTATTTTGATTTGTTCTATCATTAGGTAAAGTTTAGCGTGTATAATTCAGGACCACAATTTTTTTTAAACAATCATCTGTTGATACTTATTATATGTACATACATTGTGATTTACAACTTATCCAACAAAATTTGGGAATAGATACTGCATGAGAAATGTAGTCAATATCGTAAAAAAAAAAATTGTAAAATCTTTATAGTTTCCGAGAAAAAGTTATTGAAGTTGTAGTACTTTTAACCATTACATAGTTGGACAAGTGTAGTCTCTGGTGTCATTCGTTATATGCGTGGAGAGCCACGTGACCTCGCGACTCCGAATACTGAAATCTGATTTTACAGTCGTCGTTGCCATAGTGTTTACGATAGTTTTTTAGTAGTTAGTGTCAAAAATTGCTTGCGTGTATAGCAACTCGGAGTTGATGGATATCGTTTTAATTTATGGTGAAGAAAGACAACATTTGTATTATGGTGAAGCATTTGTTTTACGGTGAAACAAGACAGCATTTATGTTAGTTCGTAGAAACTGAGTAAGACAGGCCCAAATGTGTTTACTGCCGTGACGGTCACATTGTGCCAGGTCAGGTTTTACAGAGGACAAGTTTCCAGTGCCGTGCAGAAATGTATTTTTAAATTATTTTCGAACTGCTCTTTTTGATTTTTTCTTTGTAAGAGTCCCCTGTACATCCAGATTTTTTTTTTTTTGGATACGTTCTGAATCACCCCGTTTATTACTATAACCATTTCTCTTTACTATGAGAGACAAAACTGAATCCAATTTGTTCCAAGATTACAAAGAGCATTGGCTGAAAAAAAAAATATGTAGATACATAGGTAATTTAAAGTTCTGAATAAATGGATTTTATTTTTTTTAATTTGTTATTCATCGGATAATTTAAGTAAATATCAGAGGTAATCTCTAATCTTCCAATAAAGCTGATACAATTAAAATGCAAAATATTGATCCATAAATTTATATTAGTGTTAATTTATGTTATTATTATAGATAAGATCTTTTATCTATCCTATCGTGGACATATAAAGGAATAACTTTGCTCGTGAGCCTTCCATGAGTAGAGAAATTTCATTACAACTAAACAGCTGCCGTAAACATTAGATCTCATTTTGGTTAAAAAAAAAATATTTACTTAAACGGAAACGTATTTATATTTATAAAGATGTGGTTCCTGCTACTGTTAGTCATTCTTTCTTCTGCTTCAAATGTCATGTCAGCTGGTAAGTTGTCACCTAAATTTTATAAGTAATACGTGCTTTGATGAGCATAGTAAAATACTGCGATTTCTTAGAAAAACAATTATGTTTAGTGCATTGAAAAATAAAAGCTGTGGTAAACAAGAACTTAATATATTTTTAAACAACTGTTACCTGAATAATAATTTTATAGACTTGTTACTATTGATCTAATAAGAGTTTGAAGCACCACTTATTTTTAAAAGGTTATTATCTTTTAAATTGACGCGTATATGGGCTCTTAACATATTCTTACAATTTTTTCAGATGTATGTTATCCGATAATATTTCTCAGTTTATCTCAACACTACTCGTATTAATGTTATCATTTTTTAATACAACACCGAGAACGGTGTCCAAAATAAGTATTTTAATTATAAAACTGAAAAGGTTTCTAACTGCTAATATTGACAAAAGCAGCTTTAAAATAAAATAAAAAATACGATACGATATTTAATAATGCAATATGTTTTTTAAAAATATGAAACTGTTTCGAATCGCATCCATTAAATAATTATCTTAACACTTGAAATAGCTTCTACCGTTATTAAAAAAAATTACGTTTTTTGTGCCTAGTTTGGAATACCACAAATATACAGTTTATTGTCAATTTATAACCAGATTCTTCCACTTGCGCTTCATTCAATCTAGAAGTTAATGTAGTCAGCATCTAAGAAGAATTTATTCCCCGTAACTCATTAATATGCAACAGGTCAATGTCAGCCTTTGTTTGTTTAAACAGGTGGAAAATGATATTCGAGCAGAACTCCATTCAAGATTAAACTGGCTACACGAAACGGCATACACCACGATAAATTGCCAGAGTTAAATTAACAAAATGTTTATTACACGATTGATCTAATGAAAGAATAAATTTGCAAAAAATTGTAAATACAAGTAACGAAAACTTGTTCAATAATTCAATAAAAATATATATGTTTGTACCTAAATTCTAGTTTCTTCAAGACTTAGTTAATATTGAGATAAGGATGTTTGATTAATTTAAAGATTCAGTATCTTAGTATTGTTGTAGATCAGTAGAAACTTGAAGGAATATTGTTTTTAATAACATTACTGGCATTTTTAAAAAGAAGCCACTTGAAAAATAAATTTAAGACGCAAAACATTTGAATGGCTGTAACTGTGTGACGATCTTTGTCAAAGATGATGTTAGAGAAACAGGAATAAAAAATTTTTCTTCGGATGTTCATTGTTTAATGATTTCAATATGTATTTTCCATTAATAATATTTAAAATCTCACTAAATGAGATGGAAAAATTAAATATCGCAAATTCTTAATAATAAACAAAGAGCTAAGTACTGCGTTGTTGAATAATTTCTTGAAAAATAGGATCAAAACTAAATGGAAATTAAAGTATGTGGCATCTTAGCAGACACCTAACTCTTCGTCCAACAATAGTAAAAATAGACATTTAAAACAAAGACAAATACCTAAAACTAAACGTAGTAACCAATAGCCATAGTTTTGTAGGACTTTAATATGAATCCTAGTATAAAACAAAGCATCTTAATGCCCTTAATTTTTTAATATAATAATGCTGCACCTATATTAAATTTTCTATTTATAGTCAGATCATGTTTACTGGGTAAATAGCGGTAATAACCTTGTTTAAAAAATTTATCATATCATATATCATTAGTAACAAAACAAACAGTGTTAATTTTTGTATTGGATATATAACAGTTTTACATTAGCATTCGTGAAAATAGTTTCAAATAAACGATGATACTCTCATTATTTTTCTTAATTAGTTCTAATTGTGGAAGATAGTTCCTCATTGTTTCAATTCTTAATGACAATGAATAGTTAAATACTATATATACGCAGATGTCAAGCAATTGGCGCAGAAATCAGAAAGGAATATTTCATTTGAAATTTTAATTTTTTTTATCTTTTTATCTTTACCAGGCTGTACAATATCAACGAATGGAGATCTAGGAGAGCCTCAACCCCTTATTGTCAACTTAAATATTACCATAAGACTTCCTCAAGAAACCGACCAGATATCTTTCGAACAAGATGAAGAATTTTTATTGTCTTGTCCTAGTGGTTACTTGATAGTGGCGTCTGGGGGTGAGAATTTAACTTTAACAGAAAACGAATACGCAACGTGCTCATCTGGAAAAATGTTCACCGTTCAAAACACGACAACGATATTCTCTAATATTACCTGTTCTCGGTACCCCTATCATATTGCAAGGTAGGTAAACTGCTTTTTAAATTAGCTTAGCTTGAAGTATACGAAATGAAGGCAAATTTAAATTACAATTTGTTTTCTAATTTCTTGAAAAGATGAGATATAACCTACAAAGAATATAACATCTTAATTGTCGCTGCTATTCAATGCCAGTATGGCTATTTACTAGACAAGAATAACATTTATTTTTTATTTGGATAATTTTGTCTCAACTAGGAAACGGATTGTTTTCCAGACCAAATCAGTTATTATAAAGCCTATAATTGTAACATAATCACTTTTTACTGATAATAAAATTTGAATGAAAGGTATGATTTTGATAATATATTTAATGAATGGTATCCATTTTAATCATAAACTGGAATTACAATAATAAATACCGCGAAATTAGATCAATTTATGTATTTATTTGGAGATAAAAGATAAAACTTTACATAAATATTAAAGACTTTAAGCTGTCTTAAAGTTCCTAATACCAAATAAAAAAATTGATGTCACTTGAATGAATGAATAGTGTTTTAACTTTTTCCCTGGAATGTCATATGTTCAGATAATTCTGAATAATTTTCTTTAGGTTAACTAATAACACTTGCGAAGAAGGTAACCAAGAAATTGAGGTAGGATTTTTTGTAAACTCCACCTACGTCAGACACATGCTGATATGTTTCAACAGAAACAAACATGTCACGCTGTACTCTCATTTCGAACTGCCTCCAAACATCCAAGGAAGACAGTCGAACTTTCCAAGGCCTAGCTGGATCAACGGCGACTTCTACAGTTTTGGTTCTAATGCTTCAAACTACGACGCCAACGCTTTGGTAACCGTCGTCAATCAAATCGCGACGATCAGTAAACTGGTAGGACACAACAGCACAACTGAGAATCCTTATGTGAATAGCAGTGCTGATTTGTATTTAGCAAGAGGACATCTTACCGCCAAAGCTGATTTTGTTTTTGGTTCTCAACAAAGACTGACTTTTTATATGGTGAGTAAAATAACACAGCCTCCCAAAAAAAGTGGAAAGTTCGAAAGGCCATGTTATCTATACGTTTTTGACTTAGCTGAATCTGTATCCGCAGCCGGTATCCAATTGACCAGATCTGGATTAAGGTTAGTTCAAGGTCAAATATAGGGGTTCAATTGCCAACAAAGTAAACCTACATATCTACAGGTTTTTGGGGCCGCTAAATCCAAATCCGGAGTCGTATGAGAATGTAAAAATTGTAATTTGTGATTCATTAAGCAGCCTAGGTTTTTAAAGCTTTCTGCCAAAGACACTATTTCTTTATAGTTTGGACTCTTTCGATTTCCTAGAAAATTTTCGATTAGTTTCTTAATGTTTTAAGCAGCGTAGTTATGTTTAACCACGCTACTTTCTCGTTTTCATTCATTTTAGTAACAAAAATGTGTTCCTTTAACATCTTACGGATCTGAGGTCCGTCAAAAATCTCTCTTCGTGATTTGGCATCACCTAAATTGGGGAACTGAGCTCCGACATACTTAAAGCATTGACTATCCTTGTTTAGAGTTTTTACCCATTATTTCATGAGTCTCTGTTTGGTGTGCAGAGGTGGAACAAGGGTTTTTGATAGAACCAGTGGCTCATGTATTATATTTCTTAAACCCAGAATCGAAGGTTTCTCTAGGAACCCAAACGCTCCTAATGAAATAGTTTTTTCGATCCCGACTATATCATTCACATAAAAAGCAAAGAGTTTTTGTAAATCCCGACTGTTGGCCCAGTATTATTGAAATGATTTTGAGATCCCCACAAATTTGCCATTTATGTTGTTCAAATTGATCCTATCTAAGACTCTCCACGTATTACATACTATTCTTTCAATGTCACCTAATATGCTACAGGCTTCATAAACATTTGTATTATGCAGTAGAACAGCTTTCATGCTTGTCTTTGACGAATCAATGAACAGCCTCCACTCGTTAGGTTTATAATATCCATATTTGAAGTGATTCATTAATCCAACGATATCATTGCAGTAAACTAAGGAAAATTCTTCATCTTTAGAGAAATATTTTCGAAATTTCGTACCTCTGTCCCGATAGTAAGAAGCGTTCACTTTTCCGTCTTGCTTAGTATTTTTTTTAGCAATGATGTTAGAAACTCTGTTCCTTCCTTTGTCAGACCCAAGTCTCAAGCGAGATCATTTACTTTTTCTTGGAATATTGTTCCTGTCATTTTCACAACATGGTATGGAACATATTCGTCGTCACTAGTATCACTAGCAGTATCAGCGATATTTTCATTGTCACCCAGATTTTCTTTTTCCCTTAATATCTTTGTGAAATCTTCCTCCCTACTCCTCAAACTCAAACAAATTCTTCACTTTGAGGTTCAAAACTAAACAAATTTTTATACACATCTTTCGAACGTTGATTGATCTTTCCTCTATTGTTGCATCGTCGGAGTATATTTTCTTTGACGTATCAAAGAAATCTCAATCACCTAAAGTGTCTGAGTTATGAGTTTTTTATCATCGGCTAAATCTCTGGGTGAAGACGTTTCTGCCTTGATGGCAGACACAGGAAAACCTATTACGATGCAGTGATTAGGAACTCCAGTATCGGAGATTGTTCAGATTTAGCAAGCGGGCCCTCAATCGTTATCATCATGCGAGAGAAATTGCTATTTGGCAATTTTAATACGTATAAATTCTTAACTTGAGTGTTTTGAGTATAGAACTTGAGAGTGAACGGATTCGGCAACCTCAAAAATGTGTAGATATATCGGTTTACTTTGTTGGCAATTGATTCTCTACATTAGACGTTGAACTAACCTTAACCCACAGCCAATCTGTTCACCAGATTCGGATTCAGCGACCTTAAAATCATATAGACGCCATGGTCTTTCGACCTCCCTTTTTTGTGGGGCTGTGTAATTGATAGCACTTGATCATATTTCTCTAATTCCTCACAGGTTAATGCAATGCCGCAATGGCAAACCTTTAACGGAAGAAACTGGGCAGATTTCGAGGCAGACGCGAGGAACTTGGCTATAAATTACAATCTGACTCTCCAAGCCTATACAGGAACTTACGGCGTAATGAGTTTACCTCATTTAACAACAAACGAGTCGGTGGAAATATACTTGTACAATGACGATCAAGGGAATCAAGAATTTCCAGTACCTCTTCTCTTTTGGAGGTTTCTGTATGAGCCGATCACTCAAGCAGGTAATATTTAGACCCAAAATTAATCTAATAACTAAAACCAGCATTTATACTTTTCAGGAATTGTAATAGTGGGAGTCAACAATCCTTACATCACCAACATATCTAAAGCTATAATTTGCGACGATATTTTCGACAGAATTAACTGGACTACAACGTTTACAAGAAACGATATCCTGAATGGCTATATGTACGGATGTGCGCCAGATGAATTTAGAAAAACTGTTACTTATATGCCAGATCTCCCTGTTAAGTCTCTTTTACTGTTTAACTCCACGGATAATGGTGCCGGATCGCTTGGTGCTAGAGGAGTCTGGACATTGTTTTCATTTATAGTTACCTTTATTGCAATTTCCATTAGGCATTTATTGTGATAAATCCCTAACTTTGTATTTTCTTTATCGTAATTTAAAAAATATATCTTTTTATAAAATGAAAAATGTTATTCTACGAATATTTTCCGTAACTGTCCAGTTCGTGGCTACAAAATAGTACGTACAGAGGCGTCTATTATTTGTGGTTTGAACTAGCAAATGATTTCTATTTGTTCGAACATATTTTAATGGGTTTGGTTTAAACAAATCGAAATAATTAAATTTTCGAAATTATTATTATTATTATGCAATTAAATTGATAAGCTGCATGAAAAAGATTTTTTTGTTTTAGTATAAAAATATCTTTCATATGTTTTAACTAAAGCGCGTTTTAGCATTTAAGAAACGTAGTTAAAATAATTTTATGGCAGTTTTAGAAAAATTATTTTTTTTTTCCCCTGGAAAAGACTGCAACTGCCACTGTGCAGAAGTTTGAACAAATTTCTTAATGTTTGCTCCAAAAAAATTGATTGTTGTCATCTTCGGTTGCAACTTTGAATTATACATTGATTTATTCCAATATGCTATGATGACAACTACTAACCAAAAAAATTCGTTGTTCTTAAGCAGAACAAACTGTAAGTCCATAAATGTGAAGGAAGAAAACGATTTTAGCTAATTTAAAATAAAAAATATATTCAGTACATATACTATCCCACTCTATAACAATAACAATAAACTTATACTGTTAAAAGAATATAAATTGATTTTATTTTAATCTCAAAAATAAATATTTTCTCTTTAAAATTTTGCTTCGAAATCTTCCCGGGCGATTTTCCTCAGTGACGTTTCCATGGTTATCCCCGTCTCTTTCACCATCTTAGTGAAATACCCGCCAGGATTTTGTAAGAGTTCGTGAGGGTGAGCAAATTCTACAGCTTGTCCAGCATCCATTACCAGCACTTTATCAGAATCCATGATAGTATTCAATCTGTGAGCGATCGTGAGGACTGTGCAGTCCCTGAAGTTCTTTCGGATGGTTTTTTGTATTAAGGAATCCGTTCTGAAATGAAATTATGTTAAATGATATCAAAATATTCTTAAAACACTTACACTACATCGACATTGGCGGTAGCTTCGTCCATGACCAAAACCTTATTGTTCCTTATTATTGCCCTTGCTAGGCATACCAGCTGTCTTTGGCCAGCACTGAAATTGGAACCTCCTTCACTCACTTTCTGGTCTAGACTTTCTACGGCACTTTTCAGTTCCACCTGAAACAACCAAAAATATGTATAGGAGAAACATATTTTTTCCGTGGACTACTCACTTTATCCAATGCACTCCACAAAGCTTCATCGCTAGCTTTTCCAAACGGATCTAGATTGTATCTGACTGTAGCAGAAAACAGTACTGGTTCTTGAGGAATGATAGAGATATTTGACCTCAAATCGTTCAGTCCTATATTGGATACGTCGACCTCATCGATGGCAATAGTTCCTTCAATAGGCGCAAGCCTAAATAACGCTGCTATCAGACTGGACTTTCCAGCTCCAGTTCTACCAACTATGCCAACCTGAAAGTTAATATCCATGATATATTTTAAACAAAATTAAATCTTTTAAGAACTACTTTTTCCCCTGCTCTAATCTCAATATTCAAGTTTCTTAAAACTGGAGCTTCTAGTGGGTCGTACTGAAGGTACATATTCTTGAAAGTGATTTTGCCAGCCTGAGGCCAATCCCTTGGAGGTTTTTCTGTTGGAAGAGATTCAAAGGGTCCCTCTTTCTCCAACTTACAATACTGCAACACCCTTTCAACACTTATCATATTTGCAGCAACCTCGGCAGTCTGTCGAGCTCCAATCTGCAGCATGCCAGTCAGCACCATGGCCTGCGATATGATCAGCCCAACAGTCGCACTTGCTGTGTGTTCTGGAAAGCAAACATATGATTTCCTGCCTCAAGACTACCACGGATGAGTTTTGGGGCAAAAAGGTATTGTATAGAGAAGAATTACGAGTATTTTCACAAGCAAGTGGTAGCTATTCGAAAATCCTTACCGTCTGTAAATATGAGGAACTGGAACGTGACAAATGACAAAAAAACCAAGCTTATAATATCTAAATAGAATCCAAATGTTTCACTGGAAACTATCATTACACAACAGGTACTCGTATGTTGATCTTGCAGGGCATCAAACTCCTTTACGATTATTTGTTCAGCGCCACATGATCTTATGGTAGGTAATCCATACAGGGAAGCTGATATGTGAGAGAAAACTGGAGCTCGAGCTAAAACGTAATCAAATTAAATAATATTACTTCTAGTGCTGGATTTTGTATGGACATTTACTTACTGACTCCTTCTAACCGTTTAACGCCTTGGGCACCAGTCACATAAATGACCTCAAAATAGTAAAACAAGACACCCAGCAAAATAGCGGGGATGATCATCCAAGGTGATAATAAAAACACCATTGCCAAAATGCCACCCATCACTAGAAACACTTGTATGGCCTCCAAAGCTGAACGAGGTAACACTTCATCTATTGTACCCATATCTTTGGAAAACCTATTCAGGATTCTTCCTGAAACATAAGAAGATGAAGCTTCTACTTATTGCTAAAGTATTTCGGCATGTGCACCATTGCTTTATTTAAACTTACTCACCTGAAGGATTTGTGTCAAAGAACCTCATACTAGCCTGGAGGATGTTATTGAACATCTGGTTATGAAGTGCTTTGGAAGCGTTCATAAATATAAGGTAGCAGACATTCCTGCTAAGTGGGGTTAGAATGATGGATGCTAGTATAAATGCGGTATATACTAAAATGTAATACTCTCTAGAGCCTACTACAATGTTATAAATATCGAATACTGGGCGATCAGTTGAGAGATCTGCAAAACTGGAATACGACTGCGTGGAATTTTCCAAAAGTACCTCACGTTTTACTGGCAACAGACCTGTCGAATTTGTAGACACTTTTTCAAAACCTGTCGTGTCGACAATGAATCCCGATTCTTCTTTATTAGTCCTGAAAGTTGATTATATTTGCATTTATGAAATCCTTAATACTTAGACTGTCACTGTTACAAAATAAATCAATACCGTAATTTTATTTAACGAGATATGCTTCTATATTATTATGGAACTTTTTCAAAAAGAAAACGTACCAGTAAGACACCCAAAAGTCCGATGCATTGGCAGACATCTGAGAAACAATTAAAAATACGGCGGTAAACAGCAAGACAAGTGTACTAGCGCCACTGCGGCAGTAGTCTGTATACGTTGAAGTCGGAATAATGCCTTTTTCTATTAATTCTTGTGTTTCCGTTGGTTCCTCTTCTAGGTTGAAAATGGAACTCTAAAAAGGTCTAAAATTTTTAATCTGATTTGAAAATATTTAAAAACATACAGCATAGGAATTTATGGATTGCAGTTTTTCTAATTTTACATAGTCCTTCACGTGCTCTTTTTCTTCATATGGTGATTGTAAATCGTGTAGTTTGCTTTCTGTTAAGTCGTTAAATGTTCCAATTAAATCAGTCTTTCCCTAAATAGAATAAAACGCGTTTGAATTTGATATTTATTTAATAAATTAAATCGAAGCACTTACGTTATTCATAACTATAATCAAGTCAGCCTTTTTCAGAAATTGCAGCTGATGAGTAACGAGAATCCTCGTCTTGTTTTTTAAGTACGTCATTATACATTCCTCAAATAAGTGATTGCCCACATGGGTATCTACAGCTGACAGTGGATCGTCAAAAAGATATATGTCTGCCTCCGTATAAACAGCCCTAGCCAAATTGATCCTAGCTCGTTGACCGCCACTTAAAGATACACCACGTTCACCCACTAACGTCCTATCCCCTTGGGGAAACTGCTCAAAATCTTTCTGCAAAGCACATACTCTCACTACCTCTCTGTATCTGAAAGAGGAAGACTTTGTCTATAGTTAATATTTTCATTTTATTATAAAAGAATAGTTACAAGTATATTAATTCTACTAGCACTATGCACGTACCTATCTTTTAAATATGGATTTCCAAAAAGGATGTTATTCCTAACCGTTGAGACAAACAACCAAGGTTCCTGAGAGGCATATGAAACAGTACCAGTAACCTCTATTTTCCCTCTAGTTAAAGGCAACTCTTTTAGTATTGTTTGCAAAAGAGTTGTCTTACCAGCACCGACGTTACCGACAACGCAACAAAGTGTTCCTGGCTTGATCTCCAAGTTGATATCAATCAAAGTGTCCGCTATGGGATTTGCCAACCAAGTCGCATTAGCCTTTGTAAATGTAACAGTTCCTCCATTTTCCCCCTTATAATTCTCATCGATACCAGTGCTTTCTGCCTTTTCTTCCAAGAGCAGGAACTCTTCCAGTCTATTGATAGATACTTCAGCTTCAGCATAGAAAGACAATGCTGTTGGGAAATATATGGCCATAAAGAGTTGTATGGTATTGAAAAGTTGTGCCAAAGAGAATACTATGTTCCCTGTTAATCTATTTCCTAGTAATACGTAAGTTATTAAAGTTAAGTAGAGGCACAACCTATCTGTGAATACTGTTAAGCCTAAGTAAAGTCCTCTTAGGTATGATGCTACTTTGATGACGTCCACTTCCACTCTGAAATATCAATTTGCATTATTGTTTGGTCGCCGTTTATCTTTCCATTAGATTATTGACAAACTTACTTCCTGGCCAGCTCTACAACTTTCTCAAAAGATTTTTCCCAGGCATACATCTTTATGACTTGAATACCAGATACAATTTCACTCATCAACTTTACCCGGTGGTCAGTCCTTTGAGCAATTTTAAACCTCAGTTTTCCTTGCAAGTTTGAAAGATAACCTAAAATTTATACATTGAAACGATGTTTATATAAGTGTGTTTGTTTTGTTTTTAGTAGTTTTAAAATATATACCCTGCAAGGGTATGGCCTCCAACACCATAGCGGTCATTCCAGCAAAAGCTGCTACTCCGACGCTGCGGTACATCACGTAGAACCCTGCGGCACACTGGAGGGGCATCAACCAAATATAATGAAGGTAAATTGAAGCTTGGTCAAATCTCTGGACGTCATTGGAAAGGAGATTGACCAGTTGACCGGCAGCCGTCTGTCCTAGAGATGCCTGGCTTAATTTCAGTAACTGGAAGTAAACATATCATCACCAAAGGGTCTTCCTTAGATATAGTAGGTTATAAAAACCAATACACAGCTACCATAGCGCTTTGTGTGGTTCTAGCACTGCTGTCACTGAAAGTAAACTTACTTTCCTATAAACAAGCGAGCAGCATGCAATTCTAACCCTCATCCCTATTCTCTGACAACCCCAGGAAGAATGGTGGAAGATAAGTATGTTCAAAAAAGTGATAAGGAGTACTCCTCCAGCCAAAAGCCACCCATCTTCTTGCCTTCTATCTTTGGCAGGAGATTCGTAATACTGAATGTATTCGGACAATATTATAGGTTGCAAAGATCTAGAGAGATAAACTGTTATTTAATATTTGTTATTTATTTGTATTACTTGTTGGTATTTACAAAATGTGAACTTGTCCTAAATGCTTTTTGTGTTCTAAATTCAATCAATCAAAACTTTACTTTGAAGAAGAACTGCTATTGTACTTGTAATCTAATTGTTCCAAAATAAAACTTTGGTGCTCTACATTTTGTACATGTCCATTTTGTACCAAATAAACACTGTAAAATGACAATAGTTACAGTTTTTCGACTGAGTATAGAAGTATACAAGTCAATATAAGAGAGTTACCTTAAAACAACAACAAATATGAATAAGTAAATCCCATATATAGAATACGACTTTGCGAATGTCCTAAATATAGCCCTTTTGAAACTTGGTTTCTGTTTTGTACCTTTAACCCTATCCAGCTCTTTCTGCCAGTTCCTGAAACACAAAATAAATTCATAGTAACTTTATGGTTTTGTAAAGAAAGAAATGAAATTAATTTATCTAATTTTGTTGTTTTCCTGTAATAACGGTTGCCAAGATTTTGGAAAACTTATTTACTAAAAAAATTGTACCGTCACTAAGTCGTTTTATCTCTTTGTAAACACTACATAAAGCCGGTAAATACTGCGTAATAAAATAAATTCATTAACTGTAAACAATTCTTATCATGTTGTTTTAACTTACTTTTTTTTCTTCAAACAACCATATGGATTGCTAGTTTTATTCAGCATGCAAATTTTGTTTAGATTAATTGTGTAATTACAGAAAAATAATAAATTTATTGTATTCAAAATTAATAGATACCAATTATCTGCGGCAATTTTCAAAACAATTAAATTATTAGTAAATCTAGATAAGTTAAATATGTTTTTACTTTGAAAAGTATCAAGCTACTTTGATACAAAGACAATGAACCGCAAAAGATGCAATATTTCTGCATTTTAAGGACTTTATCAAAGAGATAATGCTAGAAATAAGAAAGAAGTAATTCCTTGTAAGTTTGCATTATTTAATTAATTAAATATGTCAGGTACGTGTTTTTTCATTAATAATAACTGGATTGATATTATTTTGATATATTTATATAGTTATTAATTAACATCGATGTATGGATGACATAAAATATTTACAATATATTGTGAGTATAATTGAAGGCTGGAAGGGACTTTAGTCCGCAGAGTAGTTGTTTCCTATAGTATCATTAATAATTTATCTTTGATATTTTAGTATACCTAATTGTTGATACCAAATAACACAATGATTGCATCATTTGTGAACATTAGGAAAATTTATAGACTTAACTTGAATTAGCTTGATACTTTTCAAAATAAAAAAAATACCTTTCCAGTGCATCACCTAAAGGCCCCGAGAGGTCACTGTCTGTCGTGTTGTATATATCCTTAATTTTTAAGTCATTTTGGTACCCGTGTTTGAAAAATGGCAGAATCCAACTGAAAATCAAAGAAAACATGTTGTTTACGTCCTATATATATCCAATGAGATCATATATTGAGAAAATTACAATAGTACACGTCAATGTAGCTTTCTAATTTTCATTTTACACTAAAATTAATAAAATAATTCACGGCTTCCAGGAAAATTATTTATTTTCACTTTTTTAGGTAAATTTGGATCAATCCGAAAACTACATATATTCGACGAAAAATTATTCTCTACAGGATAATATTAAAAAAAATTAAATATATGTAGTTGACGTTCCGTTTTTGTTTAAAAACTTTCTCAGGACTAATTTTATTAACATAAATATCACATAGCTTTGTCCATTTAATTTAACACAAATTCAATATAAATTTTATATTGTCACTCCTTATTTAAATCTCGACAATACCAGGGTATTTCTGAGTTTATTATAAGGTATGAAGTATATGGTGGGCTCTAGAAAACGAAACAGAGAGAATAACTCTCAGGAAAATTATTTATCCGAAACATGCCGAGAGAGGTCGATTTTTTATTGAAGGGGATCACCTTTTCACATAAATTTCTTGTTACAGACAATCCCTCAATAATCTTAATAGGGAAGGAAGGTTAAGTGATACATTCTTGGAAAGATATTAATTCTCTACAAAACTGTGCTTTATTTTTTGAATTTGACCTATTAGTTTCGGAGATACAAGTTGTTAATAAAAAAAACTACTTTTTACACATTTATTTGCAAATTACTACATGTTAGCCAATTAAGTGTTCAAATTGATGACCCCCAGCCTCGTTACAGTAATATAAGTTTTGCAAAAAGTATTCATGCACATTTTCTAACATTTCTGGAGTAACTTGGCGACATTCGTTGACAATGCGTTGGCGTAGATCTTGAAAGGAAGTAGGTGGAGTGAAATAAATTTTGGACTTTAAGTAACTCTACAAGGAAAAATCCAAGGGACATAAATCCGGCGATCATGTAGGCCATCCTATGACGCCTCTTCTTCCAATCCACTGATTCGCAACCCTAGGATCAAGATACTGTGGAGGAACTCGATCCTGTTGGAATATAAACTGATCTTCGAGATAATTCTCATTATTCTCGGTAATGTTTGTCAACGCTGGATCAATGTTGTTCTCCAACAATTCCAGGCACATCTCCCCGGTGAGATTCCCTGGTAAGAAAAAAAGACAATTGTCACCAAAAATCCCAGCCCATATATTTAATTTTTCCGGATGTTGTGTATGACTCTCATAAAATAACTTTGGGTTAGAATCGGACCAATAACGTCAATTATGACGAGTGACGCATGACGGTGCCATTAACAGAAGAAAAAAAAACACTCATTCGAGAACAAGAAATTTATGTGAAAAGATGTCCTCCTTCGATCAAAAATCGACCTGCATCGGCATTTTTCGGAAAAATAATTTCCGTGAGAGTTATACGCTTTGTTTCGTTTTCAAGAGCCCATTTTTAAATAACACAGTCACACAAAAAAATCGACTTTCAGGCCTAGAGTGAGACTATGTTTAATACACGTTTTTTGGGTAGCTGGATCGAAGATTTTTCATAACTTCAAAAAACAGATTTTCTGAACAATTAAACTTATTAATAAACAAAACAATGAAATAACACTCGGTAAATAATTTTGCAGCACGAAAACTGTTTCAGTTTCCCATTTCCAATTAATTCATTCCTTAATAATTTGAATATCTTACTCATCCAGGAAAAAAACTATTACGCTCTACGTATACGTAATTCTTTAAATGGTTTAATGGCATCCCACCGGAAACTTTTGATGAGTAGTAAGAGATAGGGCAAGGAATATCTTCTTGTATTGGCACTATAAAATAAAATACTGACTTCATGTTCAAAGCTGAACATTTGTGGTTTTTGATGGAAAAATTGTTGGCAAAATTTTGTTTTCAACAACTATTCCTCTGTCCAAATATTCATACGAGTATTCCAAGAAGGATTATTGAAATCTCATTTGCATCAATAAAAAGAAAATTTTAAAATTCACAAACATTTAATGGTAAAAATAAGGGGAAAACCAAAAATTACTTCTACAATGCACGTTTAGGTAGTTCTCGGTAGTAAATGCGCATCATTATTTCTAATCGTCAGTTTTATTGTTGATTTTGAAATTAGCTGAGATAGCTGCAGAGCTAATGATGTTTAAAAAATTTATAGCGGTATCACGAACATCCACGTTTTCCTTTCGATAAAATTAAGGTTTTCTGTCAAGGTACTTCGTTAATATTCAAATCATATTTGTCAACGAATTAATTGTTCGATGTAAGTCGTTTAAAGGAATAATTATATTGTTAATTATATTGAATTTATTTCAAAGAGCTGACTCATTTCCATTCTATGAAAGTGCAGTAAATTTCAACGTTATTCTTATCTTAGGATGTTAGTAACAAAACTGAAAATACCTGTCTTAGATTTTACCTACGGATGACACAAATGAATAATTTGTTATCTAGGTAGGTTCTATATTTGAACCGTAATATTATCATATCCATTTAGGGACAGAAAAAATTGCTTTACCTGTTTAGGCAGGTAAAATAATTTATCTGACTCCTGTGTCAAAAGTGATACAAACGGTTTCAATTATGTCAACAATATTTACTGTTTTAGGATATAATTTGTAGACATCTGTATTTTTTGAAGAAAAAGTGTTCACATTTTTCTTCTGATAATACTTTAATTTCAATTACCTAGTCAGAAAAGATTTTTGCATATACTGTTACTGCACTGGAGCAGTAAAATATTTTTCTCAAATATCTCGAAAACAGTTGCATCTAAAACTTTAAACAGAAGCACCTTTTTTATTTAGAATTATTAAACTGCTTTGACTCGGCAATATCAGTTTGTTACACTTTTTTGTGACTCCCTATATGTATGATGCATTCAGTCATTATTTTTAGGGAAAGCTCTTTGGTCAAATTCAGAGAATGGGTTGGTTTCATTTTGTGATAACGTACAGATATAGTAGCACCGTTTTATACATATAATCGAAAGATATTAAACTTATAAACAATTGGAATACGGCTTATCCTGTTTTTTGGATTTCTTGAATCACATATATTAATACAGTTAGTTCTGGAAATGCCTTGTTTATTTAGTTTTTTTTTTGTCGTCTTTTTTTACATTATAACAACCTTGACAACTAACAGGAATATTGAAATCTCTTTTATTTAATTTGTAAAATTTATATAAACAGTCGTTTTAGATATATGACAATTGACGTAAACTTTTAGCAAACATAATTCAATATCTATAAAACTATTATAGTTATATATTTATGAAAGAGGTATTATAAAATGGCAACTCATTTTCATATAGGGTATCAAAAAAAGTTGTACGATAAAGTTTGAAGTCTATTAATATTAGCACAAATGAAAGGAAATGTACATAATTTAATTTTAATAATATTCTCTAGCACATATTTGTAAAGCATTTTCAAGACACAATATGTCTTTTGTTATACCTGTAAGTCATTTTACTTTCAATATAATCAATTCGTAAACTTAGTCTCTTAACTTGTTTTACAAACGTTAGTGATTTATTATATAAAATAATATTAAGATCGATATCTTTTGTGAAATATGAATTTTCTTCCAAAACATTATTATTTGAGTTTTATTCTCAACCAATAAAACTGTGAGCTTTCACTACCATTGATATTAAGCTTAAATCGTCACTGGTATACGTTTAAAATATTAAAATCTACTAGAAGAAATGAAAAGAATAGTGCAATTGAGTATCGTCAACATACTGATACGTTTTACAAAAATGGAATCGGTAAAACAAAATTTTATAAAATGAAATTTCATTATTTAGAGAAACTCTGACACCTACCCTGGAGATAGTTATAAAAAAATGAGCTACTGAATTAAATTCAAAGTACCTACTTCAGCTTCTGTAAAAGTTTTTGTTAAAATTGTTATGCGAAGAAGTGTACTGTGTTTATTTCTAAAACCTGATTGAATTATGAGCAATATTTCTTTTTTTTTGTGGATGATTGGTTAACTGCATACATAAAATTTTTTCAAGAACAGTAGTTAGAAGCTAGGCAAAACTGAGTAATATCTTGTAGGTTATCTACTTTATTATTATTACTAAGCTTAATCAAATAAATTCAAAAAATTTTCCTAAAAATTTTATCAAATAGACTCAAAACAATTTCTTTGATACCAAAAAACTATAAGTATTGAAAAGATATTTGAACTCATAAACAAACTAGTAATTAATAAGTCCCTAAAATAAAAATTAGTAATGATATGTCGAAAGATTATTAACTGAAAAACACATAACTGACTTATTGAAATATCAAATAATGTAATTTTTCAAATAAATATCTAACATTCTTATTGTTCTAATCACATTTGACAAAGACCCTCACGTAAATGTAGCCACGATAATTAATAAAACAAAATTATACATAAAATACAAAACTTTTAGAAAAAATGAATTTTGAAACGACAATGTCAAAAGGGTTGAGAACATGTCTAAGTTAATGTGAATTGTCTTTTTTTTACCAACCAACCAATATGCCCATTTTACTAAATTTCTTTTTCAAAAATATTTATTATTTTAAAGGTATCAGATGAAACCAACCAATGTTTGATATCAAAATATGCAAAATGTATTTAAATAATTAATTTTTATTTCAGGTACCTAACTGTTAATACTATTAATTACATACGAGCTTGTCTATGAGGTTATATCTCTTTTATAAACCCACATTTGAATTTGCCTAATACAAGTATCTTTAAATAAAATGGAGGTGTTATGTTTACGTATTTTCAAGCAGATGAAAATGTTAGATATGGCGTTAATTGAGGAAATATTGTATTAAGAAGTCGTGGATTAATATTGTCTTAGCCTAGTTTGAGTTTTGATGCTACTTATCCTCAATTGTTAGGTACTTCAGTAAAAAAGGAAAACTTATTCTCAGTGCCGTGAAAAGTAGTATTTGTAATTGTTGCAATAAACTGATCACGATTTAAATCTGTTTGGGGAATATTATTTATTAGAAAGTAACTGAAAGTTTTTGATTCGAATGAGAAACGTTCCCCAAAATATATTTATAAGTTTATAAGCTAAAAAAAACTCTTTCCTTCATTCTTATTCTCGCATTCAGTAAGTCTCACCCATTTTCATAGGTGCAGAGGAATCAAAATACTAATGATGCTGTTCCAAAAACTAATCATATCGTCTATATAAATATATAGAGAAAACATAGAATCTCAATCACAATACATAATAATTTATGTACAGGGATAATTACATGTTAGGTATATAATTATCCCTGCAGATATATTATGTGATTCTAGAAAAAAAATAGTAAAGTAAAATTTTAGGAAATTTTTTTACGATCTCGCAGAAATACATTTTATATAAAAATAGGAGATATAAAACACACATGTGTTTAAATAGAACACCCTGTTTATGTTTGGCTCTTGCAATCTTCATATAATTGCAGCGATATGTGATACATGCATCTTGTGTATTTGCTTTAACAGTTCGTATAGTGTTTTGGTTTGTTTGCTGACTGCTGTTTATACTTTTCCACTACTGAATTTACTAAAATAATAGAATAACAGAAAATAATACTATACTAATATGCCATTGCGGTCCAGACAACGTTAATTTTTACGGATAAGTTTTTCTTATTTAACTAAATAGTTCTTTCTATGAGGGATTCTGATAAATAAAACAAAGAAAGCTCCAATAAATTATATTACTTAATGGAGAAAATACTGAACAAAGTTAGTACTATCGATGCGGTATAGACATTGTAAAAAAACTTCTTCTACATGAACTGTATTTCATTACTATCAAATTTTACAGAATTAACTTTCTCTTTTATTTTAATATTACCAGCCCTCGCAGTTTGTTTCGCCGTTTTTTTGACACCCTGTATATCTGATAAAGACTGTTTATACAGTTACTAGCACTTTTTCAACAGATGAATACTCACCAGAAAAACAACTTTGAAAGAAAATTCGTGGACACTTCCGGCGAAATATTTTCGTACTTCTTACTAGAATCCATTCTCAGTATTGTGCGAAAACGAAGTTTTAACTATTAGGATCACAGTTGTGCAACGTTTTATTGCAAAACAAATCCACTGCCTCGTTTTGCGGTTACAATTAAATCGGTCATTTTATAGTACCTTAATCATTGTGGTATCACAGACACAAATCCAGCGAACAACAATCGCGCTAGCAGTCTCGACTAGAATGAGGTTCCTTATCGCGGTTGATTAAATAAATGAGAATATCTGCCCACTAGGAAAACACTGGCTGTTGTCAAACTATATTTTTATCTTGCTGTGTTCTTGAGCTCACGCCACTGTGAAATGTAGGAGATTCTCTGTGCGGTTGTTTTGAATTTTTAAATTTGAAAGGAAGTACAAGTGATTCATAAATCTCCCTTAATAAAATTTAATAGCTCGTATCTAGGACAATTTGATGATTTGATTATCACACAATTTTTGCTCGACGAAATTTCGGATAAGCCCTATTGATTAACACCTTTAGGTTTCTTATAACTTTTGACATTTCTCAATGTTTTTAATCAATTTACGCTAAAAAAACTACACCCCAAATAAACACATCAAATTATTAGCACAATAAAAAAAAAAAAGATTATTGCATTTCATTACCACCCATTCAGCGTCTTGCCCTCCCTATAACGAAACCGCTACGTAATTGTGTTATTATTACAGTTCCGTTATTGTTAATTTATGCTTAATATTTGAATAATCGCAAAAGAATTATTAATCATACGTCTTTGTCTTTTTATATAGACAAGAAATCGCACTTTTAGTAAGACAATTATAGAATAAGTAGATCCATCCAACTTCTTTTAATTTTTCGCGTTGAAAGATCCCGGAGAACATGTAAACATCAGAAACTGTACCTTTCCTATTTTGTTCAATAAATTGCAAAGATATGATTAAAGCATGTGTTAATAGTTTCCTAAAAACATTCTGCGGGGTGTGATTATGTTTATAGTACCATATGCTATTTTTCTGTATGCGGCGTGCAAAATTTAGAAAACGTAAAATAAACATACGAGGTAAAGATAAGCTTTTTTCCTTATTTTGAATGTATTGTCAGTTGTCTTATACCCTGAAGAAAACTTATATAACTGGTGCAGTGAGGTTATATTGTTTCTGACTTGCTTAGATTTTCTAAAATATTTCAAAATTGTCTTTAAAATTTAGACGTATCTCGTACGTAATCGGGTTTTTGAATAGGATATCGAAATTTTGTAGAAATAACATGTTTAAAATTATGTAAATAAAAAATAAATTTTGCTGACATTTCCAACTTAATTACTGATCAGTGCTACACAATTTCCTTAAAATTTGTGACAAAATGTGTCTAAAGATTTCGCTGTCATTACCTAAACGAATTGAAAACAATTAATGTTACCTGTGTTAGACAATCAGTAGGTATATATCACTTTTTTAATAGCCATCCTGTTATTGTTTAATATAATTCTACAATAATAACACTTCAATTTCGGTAGATGAAGTTCGTGACTGCTTTGGAAAATATTTTCAGTTTAACTATTTTCAGTGCAACCATTCCGTGACAAATTATTTTATGTCCCAATAATGGTGATCTAAATAATTGCTTTGCCATAAGCAAGCTGAAACCTTATACCGTATATTTCAAAAGGCTTATTTTCATTTAGAATGTTCTTTGTAAAATCTAATGGTCATTTAAATAAGTATAAACTTATTAAGGTATCCTCCAAAGTTCCTACTTGGGACCATTACTGTTCCTTTATTTTATTAATGATCTGCCCAATGTCATTTGTCACTTCAAATGCCTATTATTATAGACAACTTGAAAATGTATAGAAAAATTCTTACTGACAACTTCTGTAATTTGTTACAAATTGATGTTAAAGCTATATAGTGACTGAAGTGAAGAAAACAATCTTAATGGCAATATCAGTAAATGTGCAACAATTCTCTCGCAATAAAAATGATTTAACATATACCTGCAAAATGTAGTCGTAATTGTCAACAAAACTACATACATAGTAATTTACTGATAGGTACTAATAGTATAGAGAAGGTACATACAACAAATATTTTTGAGGTATTTGCACTTCAGAAAATATAATAAGCCGCCGGAAAATCGTTTTGTTCCCAGTATGTTTGAATTTGCAATAAATTCATTGGACAATAATGGTGTTGTAGCAACATTAACATTTCGTTTAAAAATTATAAATGATCTGGTGCGTAATTTTCCTCCTGTAAAAATGCTCGCCCAAGAATTTAAATATCTACTCGTAGAACTACAGGTTATGTCCCTCTTATGATAATATTCCATTCAATGAACCGAGTTTCAGTTGATAATAATGTTGATTTTTCACATAAGTGTTTAATATTTTTAGGTGTTACGGATAATTTCTCTATTAAGTAACTAGTGATATTGGTTGTATTTTGCGTTTTCCCGGTTTTAATTTTTAGCCTTTTTGTGTTATTATGTCACATTCTGCCTAATGGTTTAATCGCATTTGATTGGATAATTTCAATTTTATAATACGTTTATTTCATTAATATTATAAATAAATACAGGGTGATCCATTAAAGGTATCGAGCGGCTGTATATAGGAAACTAGACGTTAAGGCATTTAGAAGTTATGACAATTTAAAAATTTCAGGATAGCGTCATTCATACTGATATTGCTATGGTAATAATAAAAAAAGTTCAAACAAAACTTGTGAAGAGTTTAACAGTGTATCTCAAAAATGTATTTTCAACTTAGGTTATATAAGCGAAATTTCGAAAAACCGACAATTTTCTGTAACACTATAGCAGTTGCGCCCCCTAGCGGTGAAGTTACAAACTTGAAAATATTTTAAATCAATTTCTTTTGGTCGTATTTGTTAATAGATTTTTTACCCCATAATCGTAGCACGTCTAGTTTCCTATATACAGCCGCTCGATACCGTTAATGGATCACCCTGTATATAAAAAAATCTGTTAAAATTACTGCATTTTCCATGTATATGTAGGCAATATGTGCAATATGTCAGTTTGAAAAACATATAAGTACATAATTTCGACACTATATAGATACTACTTTGGAAAACAGAAGCTGAATAATAAATTATTTTTCTTCAAATTTCTATTCGTCAAGCTTTCGCTGTTACAGCATAAATGGATACACGACATAACTCATAATAAATAAACAAATCAGACAACAATGGAAAGGAATTTATTTTCTTAATACCTCGATAATGATACCCCATTTTTCACATCGCAAAGTAAATGAATTATTGTTTACATAAGCGAAATGATATTAGTAAATATTTGTGCTTGTGCTGTATATTTTATATGTAACCAGAACGATATGAAGATACCGGTTTCTTTATCAAGATATCAATAATTATTATGACGGTAGTACTAGGAAAAAGGTGGTTTATATTTTCTACGTGCATTCAAAATTTTTTAAGCAAAATCAAAATGAGCATTACTAAATATCCCAAGAGGTTCTACCTGAGTTAAATATTCTTTAAAATTTATATTAATATTTCTATTTTGCATTAGTTTTTATAAAATATATTAGTTTTGTGTTTAGAATTGTGTAAAAGTAGCTGGTAATCGCTATGTAGGTACTGACATAAAAAAACATTTATGTTGTTTGCGTCTTCCTAAGTGCTTTATTTATCCAACATCATAAATTAGTGCAAATATTGCATCTATTGTTTCTTTTGTGATACTGTAACACAATTTATACAAAATATTGCTTTAAGGTACATTTTATATTTATTAAATTATGTTAGTAATAATGATGTTTTTAGAAATCTAAAATATTTAGTTGTGTATTATTTTTTACAAAATACAACTTTGAAGTGGTGACAAATATTTGAGAAAGTGATATATCTATTTTGTTGCAAATACTCATTGAAGTGGCCATATTCAGTGGCAATTACATAAAGATATTCATATTCATTCAATTCCAGGGATGATCTATTTAGATGATGCACGTAGAATATTCAAATACGAATAAGCAGCTCTTGAAACCTAGAAGATAATCAATTCATTACTAAAATTTAACTCGCATGGTATATTTATATATAATTTAGAAGTATTAAAGACTACAAGCAATTATCTTTACCATAAACCACTTGTTAAGTTCTCTACTTATACAATATTTATTTTTAATGCATTCTGAATATTTCTAAGTATGCTAGCTACTGTTAACAACACTACAGCATATCCTGAAGAATGACTTACAGAAACAATCATGGCATGATTCATGACACCAAATGCGGCTGCTCGCAGTTTCATAGGTTTCTGGCATCTCGTCAAGATAATAATGATATCTTTTCCCAAGATAGGAGCCACGTCAACCCATTTGGAATTATAAATCTCTTCTGCAATAGTCAGATTCTGAAACATCAAAAACTCATGCAATATGTATATTAGAGATATTATGATATTTTTTTTCTTGAAAATCTTCATTCCCAAATATTTTGTCTGGAAAAAATCTGAAGTTTTCTTAGATCAATTCGACCCTCCTAAATCATTTTTTAATTTGCTTTTAGCTATAGTTTGAAGAGGAGATAACTTAGATGACTTCCTGATAACTGCATAATTTCTGACAGTATTTTTACAGAGTTATATAGAAAAGCATTTAGTTTCTTACCTCATTTATTAAACGTTGTCCTCCGAAGGAAACCAGGGCTAACGCATTGAACCATGACAGGCAAATTACCAACAGACTGTTTGCTCCAGTCTAAAAATAATATTCTGATTGTTAGTTAACTAATTTAATCAAAATATAAGTACACCCTGATTTTTTATGTAAAATATTTTAATACGATATTCAACAATCAAATGTAAAAAGTATTTTCGTTTCTGCATGAGCGCAAATTTGAATAATGAAATCCTGACAAGTTCAACAAACCACATCCGATTTGTAACATTGAGAAAAGGAAACAAAAAGTGAATAAAAACATTCTAAGCATACTAATACAATTATCTTTTATGAAAATATAATAATGGAATACTACTGTTAGATTTTGAAGTAGGTGAAACGAAATTTTGTAAATCTGGGTTTGTTTCATTTCAGTGTCATTTATATCTATTATTTAGCAAGCAGAAGTAAAAATGTAAAAGTTTTTCACCACCTCCATATATCCAAATGCTGCACATCCTAGAATAGGGGCTCCTAGGAGCATCATAGAGAACATGGGAATTGAAAAGGATTTGTTTAACTCATCTTCCAATCTGAAAATGAAGTATAATATAATTCCTTATCACAAAATAACTTGCTGATAAATGTATGACTAAGCGCTAAGCTTTCAGTTAAAGGTGATGATTATTTTTAATTATAGTATGTTTAAATAGCGCTTAAATTATGCCGAAAGAAAAAACTTCCCAGAATAATTTCATATCAAAATTGTGAATTAGATTAAAAATCAAACCTGACATTTTGAAGACGAACCATTGAAATCAAAATGTAAAGAAGCCATGCCAGTCGCGTTGATTTGTTATTGCTCTTACTATTATTTAATCGACGTAAACTTTTGTCGAAATTGTTTTAAAATGTCTCGTTTCGATAAAGATCAATTGAACAAAATAGACAAGTCTTCGACTGTCGAACTATTGGCCAATATTTTGGACGACTATGCTTGCAATATGGAAAGGAGAAATTTTCGAAAGTTATAAGGAAAATGTAATTAAAACAATGTGGAACTCCGCAGGGAAACAGTTACAAGAAATGTTTTATGAAGTATAAAAAATTAAGATCGATCCATTTGCTGATGTAGAATTTGCATCCGCCAGAAATCTGGAATAAAGATACCCCAAATGGTGTACAGGGCAAATCTTTTCATATTGCTCGACATGAATTAGCATGGAAAATAGAGGAAAGATTTTCTACACTCGTTCAATTTTTTAAAGAAGAAGCTGATTATGTGGAAAACCTAACAGGCCGCATTGAATTTTCTAAAACTACACAAGGTGGTTCCAAGAGACTAGCAAATAGTAAATGGTTAATTAATTAATTGTTCCGTCTGTCTGTCTGCACACAAAATTAATAAAAAAAAAGGTCACATTAAGACCGACAGATTGGTTTTAACTCCAAATCCCAACTGGAAGGAAATAAATTCAAGGCGACTATACAAGAACTGAGTAGTTGAAGAGAATACTATATATTTGTGTATATGTCAGTATATGTCACAAATGTCAGCTTAAATGACAGAAAAATGTTCAATGTAATTTACCTAGAACAAAAGAAAAAATTCCGAATATTTTTCGATGCCATTGGTAACAGCTTAAAATGATATCATGTGATTGGCTACAAAATAGAGGTGTAAAATTTTGAAAAAAGGAAAATTAATCTGATATGCCTTGTAATTTTTTAATACTACTATTATTGTACCTTAAAGGCTGATTTCCAAAAGGCTTCCGACCATATCGTTCCACATGACCACCCATTGACCTATTACAAAGTTAGGAGCTCATTTAACCTATAGCCTTTCTCTTTGATCGAAACGGTAGACAGAATCGGTGCAAGGTGCCCTATGTGGAAATCAGCCCTAATTAAATACAAATATTTTACTACCCGAGGATCTTCTACCGTAACAGCAAATATGAAGTTCTCACTTACTCCAAGAACCAACTGTGATATTGAACAGCAAAACGGAAGTTCCTCTTCATTTCCTCCGGATCCTTTTCTTTCAGTGCGCTAGTGAAAAGATGTTTAATATGGTCAATTCTTACTGAAATGTGTTCCACTACCTCCACGACCAACCATGTGACCGTCCCTGCTGTCACGTACACATAAAAGATACTAAACACTTGCAGAGTCGCATAGATTTGCTTCAGAGGGAAATAGTCTATATCAAAAGGCAACCAAGCGTTTGTTATCAGCCCACAAACTTCATTGAAATTGTATTCTTGGTTTTCCTTAATGCATTGATGCGATTTAAAAATGTTGGTAACTGAGAGAAAGGCAAAACTGGCGAGATTGATATAAATGTAATGGTATCTGGAGAATCTGTTCAGTTGTTCGTTACGTTCGTCGAATTTTGGGGGTTTCCCGAATTTATTGAAATCTGACAGCAATATGAATAGTTTTGCTGCGGATTTTATATTGAAGGAGAAAAGGACGAAGAAAGAGTATCCTGTCAACATGGACAGTACGTAGCATATGTCTTTATAAATGTAGATGTTGTTACGACCTAAAATTCATACATTACTGTTCTCTAACTTTGAGCATTTAGTTACTATAGCTACTACAGGTTATGCATTCCAAATTTAACTTTTTGATAATAAAATTCAACCCTTTTCAAATGATATTCACCCGTTTGTAAGTCAAGTCCAATCTTCTACAAATCAAAACCGCTATATTGAAACCAAAACAAGGATTTAATATTTTATGGGCCACTGACTGAAGTCTCTAACCTGTAACGTTGGAGTAATTTTTACGGATCAGTCATTTCCAAATTCCAAGTAGTTCTAAGTCTTAGTATCAGTTGAATTATCTTGATTTTTCTGTAGTTCTATCTTCTATGTGCGTTTCTATCGACTCTGGCTTATTGTTCTTTAATAATTGTGTTCCTTTAACTTCGGCAAACGTATTTCTCTGTTTCTCTAGTGCATGATTTCCCGCGTGTACATACCACAACGCTGTATAGGTACACCGGGCTCTGAAGGTCAAAGGTCGCCTTCAGAAAGACTGCTCCTATCTTCGTAGATGTGTTGTAAATGCTATTTGTATATAAGGTAGATAGCCTGATAAGGTAGTTGTAGATATCCCTTCTTTATTTTCTTCTTATGTGAGATGACAGTCTGTTGAATATATTTGTTAGCACTTATAATTATTATAGCTGTATCCATATCTCATCTGAGAACTATCTTAGATGATGTAGTTCAAGGTAACGGCATCTTATTTCTGGACTGGATGGTAATGAAATTTTTGTAAAAGTTGTGTGTTAAGGTGCCATTTAATTTCGTTTTGATAAGGACATCTAAAAACGGAAAAGTACCTTTTTCTTCTCGATGAAGCCTGATAAATTTCATGAATATAGTCCGAAATCTGTTTTTAAATTCGTAGAACTATCGTCAACATAGAGTAATCAATTTTATTTTCAAAAAGTTGAATGTCAAATGTATAACCTATACTTTCATTACTCTCAAGCTGAAATTATGATAATTACTAAACAACTAATAATTAAAGACCTTCCTAAAAAACTACAATGTTTCAGAAACTTTTTGTTTTATTTCACAGTTTTAGGGCATTATTTTAAAAAACTTACTTTTTAAAGAATAAACGAAGTGCATAAAACTTCCAGTGATAATGGCTGAAGCGAATAGACAGGTAAAACCAAATTTTATATAGAACATCTTTCCGGGTTTTAACTCGTGACCCTCTGCAGGAAAAACTTGATAAATCCGAAATATTTTTAACGTAGTTGCGAAGTAAACTATGCTGGTAACCATATTTCTTATATTATTTGCGTTATGAAAAAGAATGTTTGAGATTTATATTTCTGCGTAAAAGACCCGTTATTAGCAGGTACTTATTAAGGAACGGTTGTAAGGGTTGACCTAAACATCACATCATACAACGCAATAGCAATGGGATGAGGCACTACCAAATTATTTGAAGGTAGATTTGGAATCGGGTAACAATCTTTTATTAATTAAATATTTATATGCAGAAACATTGTAACACCCACCTTTCGTTGTGACTGTCGCTACCTACCTTATAGTTAACTATAAAATTACCACCTGCTTGAAGATAATTATAAGTTTTCAAAAGTCCCATTTTCAATTTTTTCATCTTTGAAATGGATAAATAAACTGCGCAATAGGAAAGTATTCTTCTAATGTCAGTCAGAATGTTAATTAATTAATTGTTCTGATATAGATAAGGTTAAGAAGCTTTTACAGTCTATGACACTAGATGTTGAGTTTTCTGCAGGTACTTTGAATTGTATTTCTTTTTACAGAATTCTTTAGTATAGTTTTATGTTTTCCTCTGCTTTACACAGTGGCGTAGTAGTTATTTTCTATAGAACAACTCAAAGGAAGAAGTGCCACTGATTTTTTTATATTTATTATATTGCACATGATGACAAAGCTCCGTATTTTAGTACTATCTATTACAAATTAGAAAAAAATGCTTAATCGGTTTCCATCTGAGGATAATTTTAATGTTTTCAACTTTAATATTCTATATCTCAAAAGCGAACTATTTTTCGACAATTGTTTGTTTGTACTACCCCTTTAACTTTCATCGTAGAATATTTAACCCGAGGTTTAACGTATTAGTAACGGAACACCCAGTATATGATGTATTGTATTATTATATGAAGTTAAGTATAAGATCTAAACCTCCAAAAGCTGCTCTTACCCTTCTACTACAACTACATACATGCTATTTCAAAAAATTTAGATTTATTTATTAAAATTGTAGTTTTCCGTTTAAAAAACATTTAAAAAAACATTTGAACTGTATATATGAACGTTTAGAGGGTCATTTAAGTAAATTTGTTTTTAATATCGACTATATGTCATATTCTTACATAAATATTTAATGTTTCGTTAACTTCAGGTATTGTGTTGAGGAATTTAATAATTATTTTAATCTTCCTAAACTATTGCAAATAACAAGCGATAAATGTTTAGATATTTTTTTCTGAAGGCCAATCAAAGAATGCCCACATTATTTTATAATTGCCACGTTAACTATCTTTTCCTTTAACAGTGTAATGTAAATTTATTTGGAATTAGAAAAAACAATATTTAACATTCCAACATTTCACATTTTTCTTATAAGTTAATGGATACACCTACGCCTTCAAAATTCATTCAAAAGGAGACTTAATTTTAAAATTTTCTCATGAATAGCAAATATGGTTTCTGATTTCGATGATTTTTTTTATTTTGATGATGAATTTCTAGTTTCAACACACAAGGTGTCCTGTAAGTGCATAAATTTTAAGGATACATTTATCAGATAAAAATAAGCAGTAAAGCTTTTATAAACTATATTATATATAATATATAATATTATAAGCTAAATGAAATAAACGACTACAAAATTTATTTTTAAAATATTCTAGCATTGAAATAGTAAATATATGTTTTTATTTAATAATAATAGTTTCAGTGTTTATTGTGATTAAGCTACGTTGAAGAATGTAATTGCATATTTTGTTATTTCCTACAAACTGTTATAAAAATTTCCAGTGTGTAAATCGTTGTCCTTAATATATTGCCCTAAAAAGAATAAGAAAAACTAGAATCCCAGTAAACAATTTACAATAAGGATGTAAATACTGGGTGGTTTATTCTAGGAGGCGAAATATAATGGATCTGGTTGAGAATCCAATTTTGAGCAAAAAAGACGAAATACTATCGGACTTCATTTTCCAGATATCATGTCATGTAAACAAAATTATTTAATCAACGTTAGGGTTAGGCAAAAAGAAAGCACATTATTTTACATAATATACTGATAGCTACTATATCAGTTTCTGATTCTTGCAAACTGTGCTTGTCACTTTTAATTATTATTATCACCACAAAATATACAAATTTTAATCATGCAGTTCAGCAACAAAGAGTATGCAAATATTATTTTTGTTTACGGCTTCCGTAACGATTCTTCAAAATATTGCCGGGAGTTTCAAAGAAGATTTAAACAATGCTGCACAAGCATAAAAAGTAAAGCTTCACTAACCAAGTATCAATTAGAATTCTTAGTTCTATTTTTTGGTATAACAAAACTACTTCTATAAAAAAGTGAAATTAATCAAATGACCATGTATTAGGTAACAAAGATTTTCTATTAACGTGGTGTGGCACTTTTTTTAATGGTCGTCATCTATGAATACAAATTCTCCCATATCGTTTAAATACCATCTCATACCTACAATTACCGAAAAACTTTCACGAGTTATTAGAGAAGATGTTCTGCTTGCACTGCGCAACATGATGGGGAGCTAATTAACAAAAAAATTATAGTCTACATTTTAATGGACGCGACCCAGTTGAATCGTCTGCTAGAAAGCCAAATCTGAATCCTATGGATTATTACTTCTGCGGGTTCACAAAAAACAAAGAGTAGTTACAAAACAGAATTATGAATGCTGATGTACATCAAATTCAAAGTAATCAAGATCTTGCTACAGTTATTAATTAATTTATTCGTAGTTATCGGGCATGCATCGCGGTTGGCAGTGCAGTACTCAAACATAACGTTTAAAGTAAAATAATGTAAAATTTAAAATTTATCTTTGAAATCTGTTAACCTTATCTGAAAAACGCATCCCAATTTCCGATGTTTTGTATTTTTTTGCTGCCAGTTGGATTCTGAACCAAATCCTTAATTTTTGCATCCTAGTATAAATTTAAAAAATAATTTGCTTTCATATTTTTAATATTATAAATATTATTGTTACCTTTATCCTTTAAATGAGAAGATAAATTAGGTCTGTTTTAAAAGGGTGATGTAAGAATAAGACGCTTTCAGAACCTATAAGTAGATAATATAAGGTAATATGTCTAGTAATAATATTTGAAGTTTAAAATATATTAATACTTTATTTTGGTAAAGCTTGATCAAATTCATGTTGTATGCGAGTTTCATATCCACAGTGGTAACTACTACTAAGATCAAGATGAGTTTGTTCAATCTGTAAGGTATATTTTTACCCCAAGAAACATTCTATAGTCCATTATTCCAAACGAAGAAGCTCTTAAACATATTGGTGTCCAGCTTCTCTGAATTACTACCATCATATCCTTTTTTATGTCCTCGGGACAGTGAAGCCAATCAGCGTCATATAGATCAATACCTACAGCAATGCACTGAAATAAAATAAATCTTAGAATATTTGAATACATATTACATTTTTTCGAATCTTGACTGTTACTGATATTAAGATCATTTGCCAACAAGATACAAGAGTAAGAATAATTACTTAGATACCTCGTCTTGTAACCACTGTCCAGCAAAGCAGACCATTGCCAGTCCATCAAACCATCCCAAACATAGCAGAAATGAACTAACAGAGCCTCCCTAGATCATTAAGTCATTGAGGATAAGTTTATTTGTCTTTTTTAAAATTAATTCCTTACAGATACAATTGCGAATACACCAATCCCTATAATCGGCGCTGTGATAGCCATATGTGTAAACATAAAAATTCCAAAGGCTCCGTTCATTCTGTCTCCCAAGCTGAAGAAAACATTGAAATCACTTATAACAGATTTTTTTTAATGTCATTGTTTACATGAAATACATAATTTTAACTTATATAGTGAAGTTTTTCTTTTCACGGACATTTGAAGATATAAAAATAATAACTTTCCAATTTAGCCTTAATATTTTTTTTATGTAATCAAGATTCTTACGTTTACAACAATTAAATCATTTAAGGACAGTCCTTATTTATTCGCCATAACTCTACTACAATATGTTGTACACAAGAACCTCAACATTGAAGTGTCATATTTGTTTAATAAAAAACTTTTTGAGGTTCTCTCTCTTCACTATAAAATTTACGAATAACGATAATATCATATATGCAGTGTTAACAGAACTCCATTTCCACAATAGGATATTTTCTACAAAAACAAGAGATTTTAAATATTTAATAGCTGAACTATTTATAGTTTACTGAATAATGATAACTATAATAGTACCTGGTTACTTTCAAGGGCAATGAAAACATCGAACAAAGAGCAACAAAAAGTTAAACAAAATAAGCATCTTAAACAACATTTTGCCTCATGTACGCTTTCATTACACAGAAAATATGCTTTTAACTTATCTATCACTCCACTATTCTTTTAAACCACTATATACTCTGTAACAAAAGGCGGGACGCGCAGTAATTTATTTATTAGTCCTCGGAACGGATGGACCAAAAAGTAAAATATTTCAGTCAACACTAGTTATCGAAAGTTAAGGGCTCTCAAGTAGATTTAGCGTTGTCCTTCGGAGAAATTTAGCAATATTTTTTGAACAAGTTCATTTTGAACAAGTTCATTCACATAGACCGTCGGGGTCATGTGACGACTGTCACGTCCGGGAGGCGCCAACCTATGCTGGGACAGAACAAAGAAACCCATATTTTTAATAACGCGCGACCACGAGAAGGGCGTAGAGGTTCCAAATTAGAATTAAATCAAATTGTTAAATTGATAATAATTGAAATGGAAAATAATAGATCAAATAGCTGGTTTTTAGGCGGATTTTTCAAGCTATTTAGAATATATTAAATGAGATTTACTAATCCGTCCCGTATTGCTACACGGAGTCACTAGAGGAAGGCTAGGGTTACTTGTAAATTTAGTTTTAGTCACAGAATTATTTATATAAATGTAAGTCCAGTCAATTAGGTAATTATTAACATGGCATAGTTATGCCAAAGCATCCCGACATTCAGGTTCCCGCCAATAAGATACGAACAGAAACTTCTGGACCCAAGAAATGGGCGTGTCGGAGCGAGGTATCGAATTCAGGAGAGATCGGAAAAACAGGCAGTTCTTCCTTGGGTTTCATATTGAGCAGTCTACTTAGTTTTAGAGCCTCGAGTTAATTAAATAATGGATAAAGTCATTTCAAATTTTGCTACGGATCGCGCATTCCCTGAATTGTTATTAAAACTCTTCCTAGAAGTTTTGGTGTTTCTTTCTTGTTCTTCCAATTTAAGTGTCATACAACCTATACAACCTACCACTGGATTACCTTGTACATGAGCGACATACGGTAAGTGTCTGGTATTCATTCTCTGAACGTACAACATTTCTAAGTTCCCACGTATTAATTAAAGTGTAATGATAATTGTAAACTCCGTTTCGAGAATTGGTTAGTAAACTCTTTTGAAATCCAGACTCGTTATGATACTGGTCATAACGATATATAGATAAATAAAGAAATAATCCCTCAGGTTACAACTCCGTAGATTGCTAATAATATTTATTTATATATATTTAAAGGTACTTAAAAGAAAAACGCCGATTGTAAAAATAGCAAATGGACATACCTACGTCAACGTCGCATTGCTCTTGACAGAAACTGACTAATGTGACATATATTAATACAAAATAACAACGTTAAATATAAATGTTAAGGAAAAAAATGGAAACACATCCTACAAAGTTCAGAGTTCAGTTTCAATATTTTATTGAATATTTTCCAAGTTTTCTCAAGTGAAACTTCGAATTTTGAGAAGTCTTTCATATAATAGCAAACTGAGCTAGAAAATTATAGGCCAAATTGAAATAGACCCTAAAAACGCGCATGCCTGGAAAATGTAACTTTAAAATTGCTACAAGTTTGTACTGTTAGTGGAACACAATCACATTTTTTTCTGGTTCTAGTTTTTATTGTATATTTTAGAAGTTTACCTACCCAAGCAACAACGCGTGATATCTGGCAGCGTGGTGGAACTTCTCCCTGCACCTCTGAGGATCTTCCTCCTTTATAGCTTCTTGAAAAAGAAAATTTACATGCCGAATCCTTATTCTGAAATGTTGAAAAGTCTCGAAAACAAACCAAGCGCACATTCCCGCGATCATGTAGAATTGGTGAGCCCCAAACATTTGCACGACCAAGAGAATTTGCCTCATAGGAAAATAATCGATTTCAAAGGGCATCCACGTGTAGGAAAACAACCCGCAAATCTCATCCAAGCCGTATTCTAAGTTTAATTTTTGACATTTGGTCATGTTGAGATACGTGGAAATGATTACTATTCCCGATACCAAGGTTTCAAGGTAGATGTAATGGTAGACAGAGAGTCTGTCGTAAAATGTGTTGTCTCTGTCGAAGTCGACCGGCTTTCCAAACTCCTCGAAGTCCGAAAGGAACAAAAATATTTCAACCAAAGCTTCAGTTTTGTAGAGAAAACCAATCGAGAAGGCAAAGGTTATTCCCAATGACAGTGTATACATTAAATCCGTATCCAAGTTCAAGTAGTTATTATCTGGAAAAGTATTAATTACAAAAGTATTTTATATATTCAAAAGTTGTCTCAAATTAAATTAAATCTAAAAAATATGTCTAAAGAGCTTTCTTTTCAAGTCCAAATTTCATAAAATCGAGATATCGAAAACACTCTATATATAACGTATATCTACAGAATAATAATGGTTGACGTTTAACAATATTTTTTATCTATCGGGGGCAATTGGAAAGATGGGGCAATTTATCGCACTGACCAAGCATTGATCCGATCAATGTAATAAATTTACAATGTTATCACTTTGCCCAAGCTATCCAGTCACTATCCTAAATCCATCTATAATGCCCAATTAATCGCATTGTCCATAAATTATACAAACACTTTCATATCCAAAATACTTACCGCTCATACTTTTAATTAGGTGTAGAAAACTTCCAATCAATACTACAGAACTAAAACACGCTAGGACTGCAAATTTAACGTAGTGGTTCTTTCCGTGGTTCAATTCTTTGTCTTTTTCAGGAAACATTGCGTAAAAGCGAAATATTTTCAGAGTATTTTGCAGACATACAATCTGTGGCTTAGCCATACTGTCGAGTTTTCAGTTTATCAATGATTAGTATGTAATCCCGGTTATAAAACCAACTGAAAAAATTGTTACAGTAATCCTTCAGCATAGCACCTAGATTCGTTTCTAGTTGTGCCTAAATATAGATAAGTAAAATTGCTCTCTTTTTTAAGTATTAGAATTATTAGCGTCGCCTCAGGTTTCATGGATATAGAAAGAAATGTTTTAATGCATACCTTTGATTAGGAATTTAAAATTAATGTTATTTATGTCAAGAAAATTTGAAAAAAAAAACGAAAAGCAATATTACAAATGACAAATTAATGTAACGATATCGGCGCTTTTTTAAGTACATTAATTTTGTATTACCTACCTGCCCCTCTCAAAAATCTGTACCATCACCGCCACTGGTAATAATACAAATCAGTTTTGCTTAAGATATTTATCTATTCCAAACTAATAGCTAAAATTAAGCTGGTGTATTAAACAAATTTTTTTAGTCAGTATTTAATATTTCCTGACATGTAATTTCGAAATCAAAAGCTATCATTATTTACCTAGATTTCAGATAAACCATATGAAATGTTGTTTTTTTTTTCACATAACGTTCACTATAATAGGTACAATACGATTATGTCTCCCTTGTTTATTGCTTATATTATGAATATATAGTTTCTCTTTCTTTTGAATATATTATAAATATTTTTGGATATAATTGGTACATTGTTTTGGAAATTAAAGTAGAAAAGTTTTCGAAACATTAACATATACCTAGTCTGAAAAGTTATATACTTCTCATTATGTAATCTTGAAGTAGGCAAAAATAGGATTTTTTTTACACACAACCCCTTACTGAAGATACGCAAATATAAAAGGAAAACTTAGTGAAATGTCATAATCAAATACTTTCAGATAATTTTCTCATATTTTTAGAAAGTAGTAAATGATCAATTCAGATCATGATCAGAAGATCATAATGCCTTTATTAAAACAAAAAAAAACTCAACTGAAAGTTTTGAAAACGAAGCTAAAAATTAACGCAAATTTTATAAAAAAATAGAAATTCATGCTTCTGTACTTACAGTACTTTTCGAATTCTATATATATTTGAAGCAGTAAACTAGGTCGATAGAAAAATTGACATTATTTATATTCCTCAAATTATTCCAATAATTGCTGTTTAGGTACTGATACTATATTTCCTAATTTGTATGTTAAGATTTACATGTGAGTATATACCTACAGATACGAGTAAAAATCATTTTCTCCACAGGCGTAACAATGAAATGCTTCAAATAAGTAAAATAATATAAATTTAATATTAGCAGGTCATATATTACGTCATTTACAGCCGGCACCGTCGGTATGTAGGTATTTTTGCAAAAGATGAAAATGAAGAAGACAGTACTTCATCTTGAGTTGGAAATACAATTTTTTCTACTAAAACACATAATTGTATGTTGAATTTTATTCTAAATGAAATTAATTGATAAGAAATTTCGTACAAGATTGCTGTTTTTATAAAGTAATAAATTTTGCATTTTAATTTCTTCTATTAAAATGACAATAGCATTTTTGACTTATTTTCGAGCATGTACGCCACTGACTTTTTGTAATTTTTATATTTTTTGGATGAAGCAACTACAAATACAACTTTTTGCTCTTGAACGTTTTTCGTATCTTGATTAATTTTTGGAGAAAAAAAATAAAATCCACTTAATTGTGTATCCCTGGATCACACAAGAAACATTATTTAAAATATTCGTTAAGGTACCGCTCGGGACGCCACTGGATTTAACAGATCTAATCAAGTTAGAGTTAAATTAGCCAATACAAGTAACACTGCCAAATGTTTAATCTGTTGAATTTATTGTACATACTTAATTAACACTCTGTATAGAAAAAATGTGTTTGGTTTTGTTTACATCCAGATTATGTACTCAAAGAAGGTAAAATAGTACTTTATTACTTTTCACTATTTTATGTTGATTTTAAAGAACACTGTTTGAAATTTGTATTATTGCCGCCGCCGCCGCCGCCGCTGGTGATAAGAAATACTACAATTCAAGTTTGCCTAACTGATATTTATCCATTTTCAGGTAACAACTAGAATTATGCCAGATGTATTAGATAAGATTTTCAGTCTGTAATTACTTTGTGAGCTGTAATTCTGAAATCAAAGCAATAATTATTAACCCCCTGTTCATCCCCTAGTGTTTAGATACATATCCAAACACTATATTTTTTATGACAGTCCAGAGAACCAAGGTTTTCCCCTCTGAATTCTTTCCGATAGAACTGATTGACGTGAAACTTGGACTGTAAGTAAAAAATAGCTCAAGAAACAAAAGTTATACGGGATGTCCAAAAAGTCTGGAAACACCCGATTTCCCAGGTAAATTATTTTTGAAAAATGCTTAGTTCATTCTTGTAGTAACTTTTGACAAGGAATTCAATGGTGACCTTGGATTTGACCTTGACGATGATCTTGAAGGTTATTTCAAGGTCACCTTCATTTTTTTAATGGAAACCCCCTTTTTCGACGTCACCAATCGAGAGAGCGTGAAATTTTACGTGAGAGGCAAGGGGACTCACGATAATAAAGCACATCAAACAGAAATTACTACGTCCACGTCGTTGTTCCTGGGTAACGCTAAAAGTAAAAGTATGAAAATTTCCGCTCTTTTGGTTGCCGACCGTACATGAGGATATTTTCAGTAACAAAAAATTGACCCTGAAATTACCTTGAAGGACACCAAGAAGGTCGAGTTTGAGGTCACTACTAATTGCAATTAAACAAAATATCTAAATTAAGCTTTGTACTATTTTCATAAACTACGTCCTTCGGACATATCCAGTCCTCAAATTTAAATAACCTTTGAATGACATTCAAGGTCAACCCTGATTTATGACCTTAGAATGTTTTTGAACGGAAAATTTCCCGCTCTTTCGATTACCGACATCGAAAAGGGGTTTCCTTTAAAATAATGGGGGTGACCTTGAAATAATCTTCAAGGTCATCGTCAAGGTCAAATCCAAGATCACCATTGAATTCCTCGTCAAAAGTTACTACAAGAATGACCTTAACATTATTCAAAAATAATTTACCTGGGAAATTATTCAGGTGTTTCCAGACTTTTTGGACACCCTGTATAGTGCCGATGAGCGCTTTTGCCCATGGGGTGGAAGCCACCCTTTCTAGGGGATGAAACATAAAATATTGAAAATAACCCCAGGAATCGATAAAGCTATCAATTTTAGGCAAAAAAAGTCAATATTTTCTGAGTAATCGGTGATTGAAAATGTACATTTTTTATTAAAAAAAAGACGTTTTTCAGTAGTTTTTCTCGAATATCTCGGAAAATAGACATTCTATGAAAATAGATCATCATGAAAAAAATGAAGCTTATAGAAAAAGAAAAATATTGAGTTCTTTTTCATTTATGTAGGTGCAATAGGTGCTGAGATACGGCAGGTTGAAGATAATTTCCTGTCCGCCAGAAACAATTCGAAGCATTTAACGTAAAATAACTTAAAAAATGCACAGAACATGTTTTAAAGTACTTTAAATAATCTTTAAAATGAACTTGACTTTAAGTCATTAGCATAAAAATTTAGTTATGATGAAAATAAAATTGGTAATTCGCTTTTTCGGAAAAAAATCAATACAAAAACTGATGAATTTTTCAAGAGATTTAAAATTAAAAGTAATCCTTCTACAATTTACATTTTTTATGCGCTAACAATATACTTACCTATTTAAGTTTAAGCGGTTTACAATATTTTTGAAAATATTAAGTTTTGATTGAATTTAATTCCAAAAAAATAACATATTTTTGAAAATAACTAAAAATTTAGATTTTTTTTCACAGAGTATTTTGTTTTTGTTTATTTGTGTAGGATAAAAATTAACAGAGATGTCACTGCAGTTGAAGGCAAAGGTCATATTTTCAAACATTTTAAACTCAAAAATCTCAAAAATAACCTGTTAAAAAATATTTAATTTTACAGTTCTTTTAGCTGTCGAAATTTTCCGTAAAATCGTTTTTGGATCGTCTTAATAGCTTTAAAATTAAGGAAGTTATCGTTAAAAAACCAACGGTATCTTACCGTTTCAATTTTCGAAGCATATCAATATTTTGGTTATCCACAACTTTGGAGCATTCATAGGTATACATAATAAA